CACTCAAAGTCCGAAAGACATACTCCAGCGGCAGGGAGCCGAACCTCCCGCACAGCATTCTACCCTGATCAAATGTGTGGTTTGATCGCCAAAGCGTTGTATCCCAAAGTTTGTAGGTCTCCGGTTCAAGCAATGCCTGTAGTTCCAGTCACTCAGCAGACGGAGCATCGTGTTAAGGAGCAACCCCTAAAGCACGAATCTCCTCTTTCCGGAGCAGATGACTTCACCCTCCTCGTTGAATCAGACTCTAAAACAAAAGAGATTGTCGAGGAACTCCTTGATGTCCAAAGTCTGCTTGCCAATGCTGCAATGGTCACCAAACTCCTGTCCCGTGTCGAGATGCTTGCATCTCCTGAAGCATTGGAAGCAATCAAGCAGGAGGCGACCGGACTCCAAGACGTCGGAGTATGGGATAGTTCAACTGTCCGGGTCGCAGCTCAAGCGCGACAGTCTGGAATCAAGGTGCACTTCGGTCAGCTCATGACGATCGCCAGCATCAAGTTCTATGAACTTGCAAAGCACCTACAAAAGGTAAAGGGGCGCATCGCGTTCAGGGGAGACTGTGCAAAAGATGAAGCCGGTGCACCCGCGGTGTACCAAGAACTGGGGGCCAACCCCACCTCGGTACAAGGCCTAAACACCTGTCTGGCGTATGGGTGCATCCCAGGACACACGGTCACCACCGCTGATGCGGTAAAGGCCTACGTCCAGGCGTTGCTTAGCTCGCAGTTTCAGACGTGGATCGAACTCCCGCCTGAGCTGCGGCCAAAGGAATGGGGTTCCAGGTTCGTGAAACGCGTGGTCTTGTTGATTCGTGCCCTATATGGTCACCCTGATGCAGGAGGTTTGTGGGAGGCACACCTTAAGAAACTGCTCAAGCAGCTGGGAGGCGAAGAAATCCCAGAGTTTCCTGGAAACTTTTTCTTTAAAGGGGTAGGCCTTATGCTTTCGACTTACGTCGATGACTTGACCCTCTCGGGTCCCGCAGATGCACATGAAGCCTTTTGGGAAAAGCTTACAAAAATGATAAATGTAGAGCCTCCCGAGGCGATCTTTCGGGTGCTCGGGCGTAATCATGTCTTCATAGATGGCCCCGCAGAGCCTCAAGAGCATGATCTGAATGCAGCTGTAAGCGCATTAAAGGGTGCCGTTGCCTTTGACATGAATGACTATGCCCGTCAAACTGTAGAACTGTTTTGTTCTATAACCGGCACTCAGCCCGAGAAGCTCCGGAAGGTAACTACTCCGTTCTGTCCAGACGGATCACTTCCTCCTGAAGATGATCCGTCAGCTGGTGAGCTAGCCCCAAACGAGTGCAAACTCCTCATGAAGGCCTTGTGGCTGGGACGACTAGCGCGTCCTGACATCATCAAGCCCATAGGTGACCTAGCAACCGCCGTGCAGAAGTGGTCTCGCAACCACGATAGGCAACTCGCCCGTCTTATCGCGCTACCGGTTGGTAGGAGTCATAAAGGACAACCCGCAAGATCTTCACCTCGCTCTGTATGCGGATGCCGACTATGCTAAAGAAAGGGATGCGAAGTCCACGTCCGGTGGCTTCTTGGTCCTCAAAGGACTGAACACCCATTTTCCTTTAGCATGGTTGAGCAAACGACAAACATCAGTGTCGAGATCCACCACCGAAGCCGAGGTCGTTTCGCTCACATTCTCCTTGTATCAAGAGGGCCTCCCCTCTTTGACCTTGTGGGAACGTTTGCTTGGACGCCCGGTTGAGCTGGTGTTACACGAAGATAACCAAGCCACTATCCTCGTTGCCAAGAAAGGTTACTCCCCAAAAATGCGGCACATACAGCGCACTCATAAAGTGAACTTGTCCGCACTTGCTGAGCAACTTGAACCCGGCACGGGCGTAGTGATCAAGTATGTAGCTACCGATCTCCAGGCAGCAGACATCTTTACAAAAGCGCTGCAGCCCTTGAAGTGGGACCACGCTCTAAAGCTTTTAGGCATCAGAACCAATTTGCCCGAAAAGTTGAAAGATGTCCGGCCTGAGATGTCCAAGCAGTAGCAAAAATGCAAAATCATAGGTAAGCCCTCTTCATGGTCTGGTAAAGGACCTTGCATCACATAGGTCGCAGCTCAAGCGCGACTGTAGAATACAAGTCTCTTAGTGAGCACGGGGAGGGGGGAGTTGAACAATCACGACCCCTTGACCCCCAAAGAGGTACCCAAGAAGGGTGTGCATGTATGTGATGTTGGAGGCCCCTTTGCTTTGCATGGATTTGTCAAATGGCAATGACCATTTGGCTCAAGATGCCCAGATCAAAACCAGGGTTTGCGCTCCCCTACCGGACTGGGGTTAATAAGGGTCCCGGTTTCTGGTTCGCTGTGTTTCTTTCCCTGTTGAGTATCTATGTCCGCAAATGCGTGTGCTACAGACCTTGCCGCAAGTGGACGGGCCATCACATTCCCGAGAGCCAACTCACAAAGGGAATTGTGTAATTACCCAGTTGCTCAGACCCTGTTCTGTCTTTGCTTTTTCCCCAGATAGCTGAAAGCTATGGGGGTTCTAACTTCTAATAAAGAAGGGAAAGTGATTTGCCTGGTGATGGTGCGGGCGCATGTTTTTAAGATTCACGGCAGGTTGCTAGGGCATGCAGTTTGGGTGCAGGGGCAGGTGCTGTTTTGGGGAGCTGTTTGAGCTGCTGGGCACATGTTGCGAGATTGACGGTCGGGTGTGCAGGTGATGTTGCGGGCGCACTTTTGCAAGATTGACGGTAGGGTGCCAGAGCGCATGCAGTCTGAGTCTGGGGTGCTGGCGACGGCATGGGGCTGCTGTTTTGGATGCTGTTTGGCGAGATTCGGGCGCTGCTGTTCGGGGGTGCTGCCGCGGGTGCAATTTTGCGATTGATGGGGTGCTAGGGGATGCAGTTTGGGGTGCTAGTGCGCCGGCATGGGGGCATGCAGTTTGGTGCTGGCGCAGGTGCTGTTTTGGGGGGCCTGGTGACAGCCAGGTGTGTTTTTGCGAGGGTTGACGGCAAGGTGCTAGGGCATGCAATTTGGCAAGTCTTGTTCAGGCCCTCGGCACGTTTTTTGCTACCTAGGGTCTATGCTGGTGTGATTTCTTTTGCCGAGGGGGTCTCACCTGAAATTATTTTGTGACCAAACAAATGCATGGCCGCTGGGCTTCTGAGACAAAAAGGCTGGGTTGGTTTTGGTGCGGACTGTTTCTTAGCACAAGCTCGGTGCTTTTGGCACCTGCGGGGATTTTTTTCTGGGGGGGGTGCCCCTGTTGGTCATCATTCGAGCAGGAATCCCCACAAAATGCCGTATAGCCACAGCCCAGTGGGCTGTGCCTTAAAAAGCGAGGAGCGTTTGGGGGGGGAGCGACCTTCCCCCCCCTCCCCAGCAAGTACCTGGTTGTTTTTTTTGGCGCTGGTGTATCAATGTTGTTGGCAATGGTGGATCCTAGGGGACAAGGGTACCTGCAAATGTTTTGCGACAGTACGGGTTGCTTTTTGGACTGATTGGTGGGTTCTTCTCCTGAAAAAAACAATATGTGTACAGGGAGTCTACGGTTCGGCTGGGTTCGATTAGGTTCTGTGTTTTACACAGTGTATTAATTAGCATATTTTTTGCTCGGCAGTTGTTCTTGGCACACTTGGGGATTGACACATGCACGTCTTAGCGACTCTGACAGTTTCTCATTCACACTTGTATGAACAGAAGTGAAACTAGAGTAGCTCCATGTCTACCAGCAATTCTCCTGACTGCTCCATAACCTGGGAGTCGAACAATTGGACAACACAGCGCACTTTCTCAATGACGGCTTCTGCGAACCACGGAGAGGTTGAAACTAGCTAAGTTCGTGTCAGCGTTTGCGTCAGCAACCTCCTCTATTAGACAGTTTGACGACCGTTCTCTGACGAACGCAATTTACCAGTGATTGTACTTTGGGGAGGAAGGGCAAATTCAGAACAACTGTGACTTATTTTACCGGCCATTTTCTCAACAGGGGGGGAGCTCAACCGAGAATGGAGAGTGTGTGCGTGTGACTAATTACAAAAAAGCATTTTTTGTGCGACAGCGGCACCCCGGAAATGGTCCAAGTGGATGCGTTGACAGTCACGGTGACATGAAGTTGTTCAGGCTCCACGCGGGCGAACTCTGTAGTGGTTGTGGTTTGGTATTGACTCGTGTAATTAGCTACCCGAAATTCCCTGTTACAGTTGAGACTCTTCTGTTGCCTGCCTAAACAAAGTATGTATTGAAGCCACAATGAAAAACCTGGGAAGTTGAAGGACAGCTTGGCACATTCCCAACCCATGCGTTGCACGGTTAGTTGCAGTATCCCACATCACTGGGCCTTGGATGGTAAATAGGGCATAATTTGTTATCCGAAAGGGAGCCCATAGAGGAATGGTAATTTATAGTTTCTCGGCAACCACTATTTAGAACCAAAGTAAGGCAGCGCTGGATCCTTTTTCCGACCGTGCCAGCCTTCGGTCCACCATTGAAGTGGGTAAGGCCAACCGTGGACCCGATGCATGGCGGCGCTGCCCCAAAAATGTAGGCTTTCCCTCCAACGGGGAAAGCCCCTGTGAACCAGGCTGCCAGGTGTACATGAATCAACCGGACTCCCGTTGTATGGGTTACAACTCAACTGCCTCCGCTGGCTTCGGCAGTTTAACTCCTGTGATGCCACTGAAGAAAGTTCCAATTTCCAATGTCTCGGCTTATCGTATTTTGGTTCAGAGACGCAGGGGAGCCATTGCAATCCCCCCCCCCCCCGCCACAGACTTTCATGTCTTTGTGTTGAGAAACCCATGTTTAAGCAAGTACGGATGGGTAATTAGACCTCATTCCCACAGCCCCCATTGTGTCACAGGCCAGCTTCCGTGAAACACCAAAGACAAAGCGCGACAAGTGGTCAGAAAACTGGCTCTCCTTGGTGTTGAAATGCATTTTTTTCCACAGCCAGCTCATCCCCGTATACGGCTCACAGGGCATGGTCATGTTCCAGACCCACGGCACGTCAGGCCTTTGCGGCCTTCAAAGATGCCTGGACATCGTTCCGGACCACAGAGCCTTGGAATGCGAACGGCATGGAGCCCCTAAACAAAACTTGAGGGTTCCTAGTCTCCCCATCCAAAAGTGGAACTGGGGGGATATTTCTGAAATTCGATCTGTGGCAACTCATGTTCCCTCCTTTGAGAAGACAAGATGTGTGGAACGGGGGCACCTTCAAGGTCCACCCTCGTTCTTGAGGTGCGGTTTGGCATTTTGGGTTTGCACACCTAGGCCTGAGAGGGGAACACGAACTGAGATTGTAAGCCTGGTCAATGCGTGCTTCGGCACGACCGTTTTCCGGTTGTGTCCTGCATGGCAGCCATGGCACAGGAGGTGAGATTCGAAGAGACGGCGTGGGGCTGCATTCCTTGCTGTGGGTGTCCGGTAGATGCCTTGCCAGGTTTGAGTTTTTACTCAATCCGTTTGCTTGGCGGATTGACTGAGATGGCCCGTCAAGTTGGCGGGTCGCCGAGATGTCGCTGAGATAGGCGGTCGTACACAAGCAGTATTGAAACAAACGGACACGCAGATCAAAAGGTCCACATTTATCACATGGATGCCAACAGGAGTGGAGTGAGGACACATGTTGCCCGACACACATACACATATGGCTGCGAGTCAATTTATAAGGTCCGGAACAGGCCACATGCGATCCAGACCTCCGTTCCAGACCTTGGTTCCAGACCTTGCCTAGAAACATGTTCCAGACCTTCCGTTCCAGACCTTGTTTATGTATATGTCTAGTTTAGAGTATTGATTCAGACGGTCAGGTGATTTGGTAGGTTATTGACCCCCGCAATACTACGCGTTAAAGCTGGTGTTCGAGAGAAGCTGCAGGTGCTAACGATGGGATTTGCTTGTTGAGCTTTGGTGGTTAGGGCTGCGTGGCTTGTAATCATTGGGACTTGGATGGAATTGGGCAGCGGTTCTGTTGACAGATGTGTTTAGGGTCAACCCCGCCGCTATTTGTTCGATACGATACGGTAACGGTTCGATACCGCTCTCAGTCGTCACATGGTTGAAACGACCATGTTTACATGCTGCTTGCTAGCATGCCCAAGTGCAAGCCACTCGCGTAACCGTTCCAGACCCCGTTCCAGACCTGTTCCAGACGTGTTCCAGACGCAGCGGAGCAATTTGCCACCAAGCCCAGATGCGCACACATGCCCCATGTAAGTAGCTGCACTTCTTACGCGGCCCAAGAAGCCTTCAAGGAGGTGCCGTATTACCGTATGGCAAGGCCGCGCGCCCCTGGTCGCTTCATCCATCCATCTACCCATCCATCAATTCATCCATCCATCTATCCATCTTACACTAAATGAACTGTGCTTGAGGACTCCACACATGTCTTCCCACAGGTCTAAAACAACCAACCTTACGTAACTGACTCGTTCCAGACGTCCGCGTCACCGCGGAACGTTCCACACCAGAATATTGACCCACACCCATATATACATACATAATATATATATATGTGTATTATGTGTGTACGTACCTAGCACAGATACATTGACATACATAATATGGCCGAACTTCACTATCTAGTGGCTGTCAGGTTTCTTGATCAAGGTGGGACTGCCCATATTCCAAGCCAATCTAAGGGTGCCATGTAAGTTTTTCACATTGATCCAACGTAAAACTTGATTTTACGCGACCCATTCTCCGAATCCGCTTCCTGTTGTGGGTGCCCTCGTCGGGTAAACGTCTTTGAAGAGACCACAATACTTAAAACACTGTTTGTTTCCTTAAGGGAGTGGAGTGACTTATTGAATCAACGTTCGCGAGGCGCCTACATATCCTAGCATTGTGTCTGGGAACATGCCTATGAGATTTTCATGGTCTTCAGGTTTTCCCTATGGTCCTTTTTCCGTTTCACTCTTTCCCTGACAAATGCAACAAGATAGGAGATACCTCTAAAACCGTTGGGGTAGTTGGATTCCGTGGACAACGAGTATCTCTTACAAGTTTGTTGGGTAGTTCCTTTGTATTTGGGAGAGTTGGTTCAGGATGAGCTGCGGTCCCACGATTTGCTGATCGCATACCACCATGCAAATCCAAGTGCCTTTGGCGACTTGGCAGAAAAGTGGGAGCACCTCTGCATGGAAGGGAGAAACCTGCAATCCAAGGACCTTCCCCGTACGATTCTCTTTGGCTACTGTGTAAGATGGTTTTCAGCCACATCACGACACGTCAGGATGGGGCACACAGCATTTATAAAGCCACTATGTAAAAGGCCCTGGAGGAGGTTTGGGCACCTAGCAAAATGCGTGTTCTCCCATCGCCCATGTTTGGTAAAGCTAGCCCGGACAAGTTCTCTTGCTTATCACATTGATGCTTAGGGCCTTGTCTTTACGCTCGCCCAAGTTCTTGATTGAAAGGCTCCAAACACAACCTCGACTATGCGGAGGGGCCTGAAGACTACCATCAGGCTGGGCTTGTGCTTGCTTGCTGGCCCGTTGTTTGTGTGTGCGTTAAAGCACGGCTTGCTTCCTGTGGACTAGGAAATGGGGTTCATGCAGGGTCCTTGGCCCTCTAAGGCCCCCCCTCAGTCCTGTGTCACTGTTCGTGGGTGATTGAAACATCACCTTGCGGGTCGATGTGAGAGGGGGTTTGCTTTTGGTGTGATGTTGCAAGGGGACTTCGAGGAACCGTCACAATCCAGGAATTACATGCGTACGCGACGCCGATTGAAGCTGGTCCCAGAAATGAGTCTAAATCATTTTCGCTGATTAAAAGTTGATGGCCCCCAAACTCCCCAGATTGACATTCGACTGTTTTCCCCAGCTTAGTGCTCGAAGTGACCCTTTTTGGAGCTGGAGTCCAGGAGCTGTAGCAAGACTACTTTTGATTTGGTTTTTCTATTGTGGTCAAATTCCAGGGCATTTGGCAACACTACTTCGAACTGGCAATTCTACTTTTGAATCCTTTCCAGGAATTGACCCCAATCATCGGCTGTATTCAGGGCAGTGTTTTAGAAGGCTGCGTGTTGATTCCGCCGTCCCATAGCGATTTGGGTTGCAGGGGTTGTCGTTTCGAGGTTGCTTGACCGGAATGCGCGAGCGTTTGCTTGAGTGTCATTTTCGTTGCCCTGTCGTACAACCAGCGTTTTGCTGAGTTTTTTTGGTGAAATCATTCCGGCGCCGCAGTCCTGTTGAAATTTCGGAATACGTTTGCTAAACGTGTCAAGAACTGGAGTTTGTGGCAGGCAGAACGCTTTGGGCATTGTTTCGCTTGTCGGACGCGAAGACTCATTTTGCCGCAGGCGCATTGCTTTGGGTGGTTGCGCGTGAGATTTCCGTTGCAGGCGCAGCACTTTGGAGCATAGTTGCGGTTTGGTGGCAGCCGCCGTGCTTTGCCATACCTTTGCGGATGTTTTGTTTGGGTTTTTCTTGGACTTTGATTCGAGGAGATTTAGGGGACGTCTTTGAGGGATGTGTTTGGGATGTCTTTCGAATGTGACTTGAGGGGCGGAGATGTTTTTAGGGGGACGTTTTTGGGCTTTGTCTTTGGGGGATGTCTTCGCGGACTCTGTGGGTCTGCTTCGGGGATGTCATTGCCCACCTTCTGGGCATGCCTTTTCGTTTGCGCGTGTGTGCATTCGGGTTCATGGCCTCTGTCAGGTTTCGAAGCGGGTTTCTTGGCAGGGTGCGTGCAGGTTTCCTTTTCGCATGCCCAGCCAAAAAAGTCCTCGTTGCAACCCTGGCTTCAGGTGCACAAGGTTTACCACAAGCTATACCGCTCCATCCTCCAAGAGAGGAACTACGACGACATCTTCTTCTTGGACTTGGAGGGCAACTGCATCTACTCCGTATACAAGGAGAAATCTCGGCGCTCTTTCTCCCGTTCCCCATGCGATAAGAACACTTCTATGCTTTTGCTCGTGGCAGCTGTTCAAGCCCGTTTGCTGTCGAGCTTTGAAAGGGAGGGCCAATTTTCGGCAACCTGTGTGGACCTCCTCCTGAAAGCCGCGAGGAAGTCAAGCCGTAACATTTGGGAGTGCGGCCCGGTTCCCTTCAATTGAAACAGCCCACAATGCAAAGAAAAAGCATTCTTCCAGGAGCCCCCCCTCTTTAGCCAGTTTCCACCAACCAAAGCCCTGGGCCCGTCAAAGCCGTGGACTCGCCCTTGAGGAAGTGGACTTCAGCACCAACTTCGCGCAGAACGGCGCCGGGCTGTGGAAGGACTCAGGCGAATCGAACGGCATCCGACGGCATCCAACGGCATCCGACGGCATCCGACGGCATCGTCCGGTCTAAGTTTCCATACGCCCAGATGCAGCATGAAGTCACGAAAACAGGGCAATATACCCCTGTTTAGCGCGTGCTTTGCTATTGAGAATCTTCAGCTTTAGTCTTTTAAGGGGGTCCAAGAAAGTTAGTACCGTTGATTTAAGACGAGAGGAGTGCAACTCCCCAAATTGGACCAACGCTCCACACCCCGCCGATGAATACAGGTTCTCATTTGTGACCCAAAACGATCCGCCACGTCAAACCGTGCCAGGGTATTTTGGTCCCCATTTCGGTTGAACATTGGATTGCACGAGAACGCCTCCTGTTATTCTTGTCCAACACGGGATTGGTCAAGCTGACCAGCGCAAGCAAGTTGAACAGTTTGCTTAGAAGCTATTCACTTCCTGCCTGATTGACTGTTTCAGGGTAGCCAGCATTGTCCACGTTGAATCAAAGTCCGATGAAGGTACAGCTCATGCTACCCCGTCTGATGGCTGAGGAAGGCCACGAAGCAAAAGGAACAGCCACTTGCTTGCGGACTCTTAGGTACTCGATGCGGACACCACGCTCTTCCCAAACAAAGGCTCCCTTTTTCTCACTGCACCCCAACTTTGCAGATCAACACTACGCAGTTGGCTTGCCAAATATAGTGCATGATTCACCGTCTGTTTGTGTTTTTTGATCGCTTGTGTATCCGCATGCACTCATGCATCCTTGGTTGTATGATTGTCCTTGTTTCTTCTTTTTGGTAGGGGGTGGTTGGGCCATAGCTAGTCCTGCAAACAAGCAGCTGCAGATACAGCCGATCCGACGAACGTAAACATATCGGGGCAACTTTTTGAACATACTGTTGTGATGCTGGCCTTCCTTTTGTCACCAAAGTGCGTCTTGGCAGCGGGGCGCGGGGCAGGTTTCTTACCTAGTTCACTGCCAATTTGCTCCAAGTGCTCGGATAGTTTCCTGTCTGGTTTCAAAAGAACATTTTCCGAGCTGCAACCTACAGCAACAAAAGGAATTACCCAGCCCAGTACACCTATCCAAGTAGAGACTTAGTGAACAGCGACAACACAAGCAGGTACGCGCCCAGTTTCAAAACATTTGCCCTTCTCATGTAAGCTCGCAGTCAGCGCACAGAACTGAGTGACCGTTTCAAGAGATCCAGAAGTCAATGGGTTGCGGGCGCCGGGAAAACAACAGACACGGGTTTTGCTTGTTGTCCCATGGAGAAATCCTCTGGGCTTCTGAGCTGGATGGCAACAATGGTGTGTGAAAGTGAGGGGGCACGACCAGTTTCCTTTTGCGGTTTCCCATGCCATTCGTTTTCCCTAACACAATTCGGTCGCCCTCTTGGCGTTTTCTTTAAATCAACCACCCAAAACCAATGAACCGATCCACCAACCAACCCACCCACCCAACCCAGCCACCCAGCTACCCAGCCACTAACCAACCAACCAACCAAACAGGCACCAAGCCTAACGGCAGGCTTGGGTGCCGCCTTCACTGCGGCACTACAAGCGCCGAGTCAGATCCACGTAGTCGACTGGCAGGCCAGACGAGAGGGCGGCTTTCTTTTGATTTCTGGTTGGCAATTGGGTGGGCCAAGCAGTTCCATGGTCTCAAGGCTCTAGACTCTAAGCATCTTGAGAAGCCAGTCGCTTTCCAAAGTCGAAGTTGCAAGAGCTGATTGTCTTGCAGGTCGCAAAGAGACGTTGTGACAGGCCTCCAAACAGATGGAATCTAAAAACAAGTCCCGCAGACGTGGCAAATTTGGCACCTTTGGCCTTTGCTTGTCATTAGTGATGCCAAACGAATCCATACCATTTTTGGATAGAGAAACCATTGTGATGGAGTCAGACCCAATGCACACCTGGAAAAGGGAGGCTTGTTGAGTTGACTGGCCTGGCAAAATGGATTGGCAAATCGACCAGGAGCTAAGTGCGTACCCTGTTTGATTTGTCTTGCGGCTGGCAGCACCCCATCTAAGAGGCTTCAAGTTTTCACTCCCCAAGTGCTTTCACTTCCTGCTTGTTGGGAAGACCATGCTGGTCCACTGGAACATGTACAGATGCGACCAGAGGCCTACGGCCCCAGCAACGGCGAACTCGCCAGCTTCATTGCCACAGGCGAACGGGGGGGAAGGCATGTGCTAGGGTGACACTTTATCAAAGCAAACCGACCCATTTTGGAGGGCTCCCCCCCCATCTCAACACGCACCCATGTGAGCTTTAGTGGAACGTTGTGGTGCGTTTTGTGTTGGTGGGAGGGATGGTGGCTTCAACAGTGCATGTTTTCTCCAAAGTGTTTTTTCCCAAACGCAGAAAGATCATGCACACAGCACGCTGAGATGTTGCACACAAACCTTGCGCCAGAACATGTGCAGTGCCATTGCACAAGAAACTTTTACATATGAGGCTCAGCTGCAAGACACGTGCGTGAGTTGCGAATCTACATGGCTTCAGTTGCAGGTGCAACTTGCACATGAGTTCTCGCGCGCGACACCCACATGACACTCGCAACACAACTATCATATAATAGTCATATGAGGCGACACTTAAGCGAGCCTGTCAGCGAAGCTGTTACCCTCTACGGAGGTCTTGTGCGTCGAAATGCTCTTGCTGCGGCGCCGTGCGACTTTGCACGGCTGCCACGCGATCCTTTGTGGAGATCGTGAGTGTTGAAAGTCTCCCGCTGTGGCGCTGTGTGAATGTCATTGGTCCCCAGCGCGACCAACCCAAAAAAGGAAACCCATATGTTTAAAGTTTGAGCCCTGGCTCAGGGACCTCCCAGCGGGTAGGGCTGGGCTAGCTGACCCTTGAGGAAGCGCCATGGAACAGGGTCACGAGATCGCTGAGGGAAAGTGGTCAGTGTGGTGGTGGAGATCAAGCTTCATGGCGGTGCAGGACACGTGCATTTGGGCCTTCTGGTCCCGGACGGGAAGCAGGTGGAGGAAGGGGCCTTTGGAGGTGGGCTGGCGGCACACGTTGTTTGCCTATATGGCACACTGGAGCGGCCATGTGCTGCATTTGGCGCAGACAGCGCAATCTTTTGCGGTGGTGCGGAGTGAATTGGGTCTGGATTCCCGTGCGCGAGAAGGGATGGCGGTGAGGGTGGCACCTGTCTTGACCAATGCCCAGAGGATTCAACGCTTGCTGCTGAGTGAAAACCCGCAACAGGCAGTGGACCGATGGGAGGTTGACACACAGCACGTGCCCTAGTCATGAGCGCATCCAGCTGCTGCGTGAGCAAGGCCAACTGTGGGCCGATGATGAAGTCATGTTCCATCTTGAGCGGGTGGTGCAAAGCGCCCGGTTTATGCAGTAGATCCGTTGCTGGCTAGTATGCTCCTCCATGAGCAAGGCCAAGCCAACTTTCGGGTGTGGGCCGATGATCGGCAATTGCATCTGCAGTCGCATTACTCGCTGGTCAGTGTGGTGCGCATTGATGCGCACTGGGTGCCCATCCTCTGGAGCCGTACTGGCGATGTGATGCATGGCCTCACGTGTGATACCAACCCGCAGACTGCTGCCCGGTTTCTGCCTTTCCTGTCAGCGGGTTGCCAGAGCCGTTGAGTGTGCCAATATGACCCATGGGCATCGAGAGTGGATCCGCCCTGCCAGCATCAGCTGTGGGGGCCCACGCCCTGCACTGGTTGCAATGTGGCCTGGGACCCACCCCGGCAGACAACGCGATCACAACGTACAAGAGTACGTTTGCCAGAGTGATGTCCTGCGTCACTAACTGTCGAGTGCCAAGGGTCATGGCTTTGGGGGTCACACGTGAATCGGTAATAGCCAAGCTGGGCACGGGCTTCATGCGCGGGGAGTCCCGGCCAAACGAGCCCAGAATGGTTCAAGCCCTGGGCATTGCCGCTGTGAATAGAGCGTGTGGGGAGGACAACCCCTGGCCTGCCCTTAAGCAGCTTGGTAACCAAACCACCCCGCCATACAAGTTTGTGTTGCCAGATGAGTTGCGTTCAATGCCAGGACAGCAGACGGGTTGGGAGGCAAGAAGCGAGGCGTGCCCAAGCCGACCGTGCATGCTCGCCAGGAGCACATGCGTCTGGCTGAGCTGCAGGCTGAGCAGATCAAAGTGCGCGAAGGTGCGTTCAAGGTTGGAGATGAAGTTGTCAAGCAGGTGGATGCATCAGCGATCGGGCCCAATGCTCATGGGTTTGTGGTCATTGACGCGACGTATCTGCAGGCAAAGCAGCCAATCGTCCAAAAAGGCCTGGCGTCGCTGGTGGTTGGAGCCAAGGTCACCGACTTTCTTGCGAGCTTTAAGCCGCTTGAAGTTAGGTTCCCAGCCGTGTATGTCCCGAGCAGCGAGCCAATGCTGATCGATGCCGTGATGCTACAGGTCGGTGAGCATGCAGTGACCCGCGCCAAGGCGGTAGCCCCAGTGCAGCGCACCGAGTCTCGGTGTATCGGGATGAAGTGCAGTGCGCGTGGGAAGAGTTCATCCGTGCCCCATTGCATACATCTTAGAAGCTGTGCCGGCCATGACCATGTGTGATCAGGCGGATTGTGCCTGTGACAAATGGCACAATGTCCAGAAGGTGCCCGCGGAAAGTGCATTGTTGGATGTGTGGCGACGTCATTACTGTCGCCTAGGGTACCACCCAGGGAAGCCAGATCAAGCGGCACTGTTCCTGGTGAGCGTGCGACTCCCAGCTGACGCCACCAACAAGGCCCTTGCTGTCAGTGGTGTTAAGGGGGTTTACTTGAAACCAAGAACAGCAGATGGTTTGCGCCCAGATGAGCAGTGGAGCGTGATATGGCTACCCCGGATTGACAAGGCCGCTGCGGTGCTTCAAAAGCAGACGGTACAAGGAGCAGCAAGCATGCATGGTGCGAATGGGCATGCGGTTCGGCATCCGGGTTCCTACTCTGGAAGCAGCTCGCGTGCATGAAAACATGCGGCCAGAGACGCCATTCGTGGCCGCCGGTGTGAGACGCACACTTGCCATGGGTCCATTCCCGTATGGTACCCAAAGAGCAGCGACCAACAAAGTAATTAAAGCCATCGGACGGCAGGCCAAGCCCACACAGCCAATCACCGCACAGCCTGGGGTGACAGGCATGACGTGGGCCATCCAGAGTGTGGATGCCCCACCGGTTGAGACCGCTGTGGGAGAACTGTTGATTCGTGAAGTCAGCAGTAGTCCGCCATTGAGTAGCCAGCGGCCGGTTATGATGCAACAAGCCAGCGTGCGCCGCCCCAATCAGGATCCGTTGATGTACAATGACCCGTGGCAAAAAGCCTTGGGTGGACGTGGGGCCGGGAAAGACGGGCATTTTGCCCAGGGTAGAGGAGAAGAGTGGCAGCGCATTGAAGCATGCTTGCAGCAAAGGGTGGATCAGCGGCTTGCGGAGGTTGAGCAAAAGCAAGCCGCAGTGGCACCAGCCAGTAGCGGAGATGCTTCGATGCCTGACCAAGACATGCAGCGTAGGCTTGCCGCAGTGGAGCAGCAGCTCACTTCCATGGTTAGCAAGCAGGGCCAGATGGAAAGTTGGGTTGCCGAGCAAAATCAGCAGCAAAACGTGCGCGTGGCCCAGCAGTCTAGCGTGGACCAACAGGCGGTCAACAGAGGATAGGGGAGGCCAGCCATCCAGGCCCGCCAGCGGGGGTGGTGCTTGGGGACCATCAATCCAACCGGATTGGCAGGGAAGGAAGCAGCACGTGACAGCCTTGCAAATGGGGCGTGGGCTGCGAGTGAAACCCACCTTACCACTGTGGGACGGGGGAGGTTCCCAAGGGCCTCAAACACATTAGATCATCAATCAAGTATGTGTCGCAGTGCCGGGCTCACTCTGAGATTGCCGGAGAGTGGGCAGGGGTAGCAGTGCTGGCCAGCATGCCAACAAAAACATGGCCAGTGCAATGGAATGCCGGCGTGTGGGATTCCAACCGGGTTGTGGCCGCAACCACCATGGTGGGTGATGTGTGTGTGACAGGTGGGGTGGTGCACGGGTTACCCGAGGGCCCGTTGCATGGTGACGCACTTGGCAAGACAGATCAATTGCTTGAGGCGGTTGGCAATCATGTCGTGTTTGGATGCCGTAGGCCGCGTTACGTGGCCGGCGACTGGAGCCATGACATGAGTCAGCTTAGCACTTTGCGTGCGTGGGAGAAGGCAGGCTTCCGTGACTTGCAGACGATTGCCTTTGAGCGGTGGGGTGTTTCTCCATCCCCTACGTGCAAATCGGTCACGAGAAAAGACTTCGTCTACGTATCGGCCGAGCTGGCCCGCTTGCTTGTCAGTGTGCATGTGAATGAAGCCTGCTTTGCCGACCATGCGGCCCTTTGGGGTGAGTTCCGGGTGCCAAGCCAGAGAACTGTCGTGCAGTATAAGTGGCCACAGCCCAGTGCAGTGCCGTGGGGGGATGTAGCTCCGCTCAGCCAAGCCGTGTGTGGGGCAGAGTGCAGTAGCCCCGAAGAGCAGTACCGGGCAGTGTGGCAAGACTTTGAGGAGCTCGGAATACTAAACTGTGTCATTTTTGTATAAACTCCAGTAGAGCACGGCCGCTTCCAGGACTGGCTCAAAAATCTTGTTTTTGAAGCTCGGAATGGCCAATTCTCTACATTTGGGCTAAACTGCGTCATTAAAATGCGCAACTTGTATTTCACTTCGAGTGAAGAACGGCCACGTCCAGGACTGGCTCCAAAATGTTGATTTTGAAGCTCCAAATGGCAAGTTCTTTGCATTTGCGAGCGCGTCCAAGCAGCTGCAGCCAATGCAGCCGTGCTGTCTCGGCACTGTGGCCGAGGGGCGACCCTTGATACCGTGGTGGCGAAAGCCTAAGCATGCCCGGTCAAAGCAGGGCGTGAGGGTGAAGTGCAGCCAGCCGTGCAGGGCGATTCAAGACGATTCGCCCAGTGGTTTAAGCAACTTTGACGCATACAAGCATTTGTGCAAAATTTGCGCGGTCATCGCAGGGTTCAGCCATAGTTCACAGGGTCGCTTTGTGGAGTGCCGTTGTTCGTGCCTGGGTTTGAACCATCGTTCCAGGGTTGGTGGCAGGGTCGGCAAGCATGTGTTACTGACCAGGCTCCTGTGATACCGTGTTACCCTCCTGACTTGTTGGTTGCTGAGGCCATCTTTGCTGAGATGCATGCATGCAGAAGTTAAGAGGTTTGTGTATTCTCGGATCGCCTCATCTTTCAGGACATAGCACGTGATAGGCCGGTACCCGTGGACACCCTGTTCGAATCAACCAAGGTTAAGATCACTGAAGTGTTTGAATCTGATGTTGCCACACCCGCCCAATCTCATTGATCCTAGCTCCATGGTTACCATGTTGGGACACCGTATGGAGCCCATTCATGTTGTGTGGTTGCCTAAACTTCCGCCGGTTGCGGTCGGTGAGGCCATGGTACAGAGCCGTGAGGTCGGAGAGCTGCCAGCCCTGTTTAGTGCGTTTGGTGACGCCTGGCGCAGTCGCTGGGATCGTCCGAGTTAGGCTTGCAAAGGCGGTGTGCAAGAGGATGCCCTGACTCTTAAGGACCTGTTGGACCACTTGGAGCAATCACCGGGCCCTTGTCCTCACAGGCACAGACACTAGCCTTAGCGCGTCTTTGTGGCCTGGCAGACACCACCTACCGGACCAACAGGATAACGACTGTCCGCTTGTTGGGCTGCCGCCCCAAGTGCAAGCTCGCACGGTGCTGGCGGCCTTCCTCACGGTAGTCCCGGATGGCCCAAAGAGCGGCAAAGGCAGGATCAGGCCCTGGTTTTTCCACGAGCCCGAGATGAATGATAGGATTGCCCCGGCTTCTTCTCACCTAATCCTTTCATAGCCCCAGTACGCAACGGCTTAGAGCTGTTCCAAGGCAAATGTGTGACACCAGCACCATAGAGCACCCTGGGCCAAGCCGCTACCCGGATGGCTTGCAACTTAAGTTTGTAAGGTGACAAGCGCAACTTGAGTTTAATCCACAGTGGGCGCACTTCGCGAAACCGGTTCATGCTCGTGGCATTGGTGGCACGATTGCAGAACTGCATGTGTGCTCCGAGGTCACGAGCGGCGAGCTCCACTTGGCAGCCTTCCCTGCGCACAATGGCTCTGCCTGCGGCCTGCACGGACCACCCATACGTGTTTGTGGTGTCAAGCTGCAGGTCCACCATGTCAGTGAAACTGCGCACTACACGGAAGGCTTCACTGACCTGCCATCCACAAAGCTGAGAGGCACAGCCCCCGCCACGTGGCTTTGCACCACTTTGTCAAGGAGGATAACCATGATGGTCATGGCGGCGCACGAAAGGGCGCACCCTTCAGCGAAGCCAGTGCTGCTGCGAATCGGCGGTCCTATACTCTCACGGATTTGGAAGCGACGCTGCATGAGATTGAGGGCCCCAAACCACCCTTTCAAAACCCCTGCAGGCACACCAAGACGAGAAGCATCGGCCACCTGGGCAAACAAATAAACGCTTTGGTGAGCCCTGAGGTAGTCAGCCCCAAGTCCTGGGCTTCAGCAATTTGATGCTAAACCATCCACCACAATTGTTTTGCATGCCGATTAGGCAGGTTACCAAAGAGCCCACTGCCCGCTTGGGCGCTGAGCTGCGCAAGCACTTGTCGCCCTCGGATGGATGGCCGAAGGGGACAGCACATCGAAAACACGGTTATAGGCCGGTACTGGTTCACCGCAGTAGCCATCGGCACTTTCTGTAGCGAGTTCACGATTCCCGTCACAACTTGCTGGGGCCACCGCCCCGTGCTTTCAGCGGCGTGGCACATCTCAATGAGTTTTTCATGCAATACCCCAGATGAGCTCTGGCACGATATCCTCGCGGTGGTTGATGCTATTCCACAGGCTGAGGTCCGTCCGGACATGCCCATCATCCGGACGGTTGCATGGAGGTGGCAAGGGCAGCGCAGGGAACGGGCGGAGTGCGCAAGCATATGCCGCACGGGGCAATTCAGCGGGAAGGCAAAGAGGTGAATCGGTTACCGTGTGCTGAGATTGATGAAAGCATGAGAATTCAGGTTCCCGATGTCGAGCACGGCCTCCATCGGTGGTTTCAGTAGGAAATAGGATTGCGGGTATGCTCTGCAATTGCCGAGCATGCGCAGCGGACCGAACAGTGAACAGTGAGATGTTTAAAGTTTGGCCTTGGACTACCAAGCTGCGTGTTTTGAACACAGACTTGCCAACTGACCCATTTGCCCAAGGACCTGAAAATCAACGACCGCTTTGGACCCAGGTGGACCACAAGTAGTTGAAACTGGAGGAGAAATGACCCAACGCGAAAAAAGAAGAACCCAACCAATCAAACAAGATGACAGGCGGCCTATTTCGTGTACTTGGAACTTGCAATTTTGCAGCTGGAGCTGCCAAAAGAACGAATTTACTTGGGGTGCTGAACTCGAGGATGCCAGACATTGTACGCAATACTAGACGGAGCATCGAGACACCGTTCCAGGAAACGGCGCCTCTGCACGGTCTTTTTTCCCCTGAAAGCTGGCCTCGAAGAGGTTTTGGGGGTTGTACCCGGTGGGAGTTGGGTGGGCACTAAAGTGCCTGTGACAGCGCTGTTTGCCATTGGCATTTGAGCAGCGTTCTGAACCTTCCTGCAACATGCAGTAATATTCATGGGGAATTCCGGATTTGAACATGTTTTTGTCCTGGGTCGCAAAAGGCTTCGCGGAAGGGACTCATCTTTTGCCCAGTCGCGAAAGGTTTGCGCACGCGAAAACACACTTTGAACAGCTCTTGCGGTTTAGCTGTGATCGATTCAGCGAAAACACGAAGTCTAACTTCCACGCAATCCAAGCGCTGCGTAGGCGTTTGCTATGTTTCGCAGCGCAAGCCCCGCGACCCTCGCGAACATATTTTTTGTTCGTGTCAGCTGTGATTCTAACCAGGATCTGAAGGGAACTGTTCTCTCGTTTTGGCTTGGTGGCTCGGAACTTTGGGTGTCCGAATGTAATTCGGAGTCCAGCGAGCTTGCCTTGTTGCTTCATGGGAGAGCCTAGCTGGCAAGAGTCTGAGCAGTCAAGGCAGAGCCAGCCCAAGGGCTGACACTTGAACCGTATTTGCGGAGGATTTCATTTGCTTTTGCCTGAGCTGTTGATTTGAAAGTCACAACCACTCCAATCAACCACACATACCCCTCACAGGATGATGTTGCTCTCCGCTTTCACCCATGTCCAAGGCTCGCGACCGAAGCCTAGGCATCTTCAGGGGTGATGAGCTGCTGGGGGTCTTTTGCATCCGGCTGCCTCCGGCGTCCCAGCCCGTGTCCCTGGCAGAGACGGAGAAGAAGATGAGCATCGCCAAGGCTGAGCGGCCGAGCCAGGGGATCCCGGTGGATGAAAATTAGATATCTTACTCATCAGTTTGGAGCTTCTTTGCCTTGACAAACAAGAGAAACCCCAACCATTTTGGGGGGCCCCAAGTGTTTCAATCAAAGGTATGTCGTTTGTCAGGGGCCTTCCAATGGTCGTTCCTAATCGGGCCTTGGGCGACCACTCTTGAGACCACGGAACCGCCCGCAGCCATGGAAAACAAGTTGATTCACTTGATACGGTCGATTCCCTAAATCTGCACACATGGCGGGAATGAAAGTGTCTTATGTTAGGGCCGATTGTTCTCAGAGGCCCTCATCGAAGCGATCGAAGCCTCTAGCTGTTTTGTAAACACAAAACAAACAAAGAGTACTCAGGATAATTGATTCAACACAAATGCATGATTCCTTGATACGGTTGTGAACTGGTTTTGATACTGCTTTGGGTGTTGAACTGCTCACAAAGTGCAATTCCAAACAAGCGCACCAGGGGGGCTTTGTATTCTGTTTGATTTGCCCAACCCCCGCCCATTTGCCACCCGGGGTTGATCCTGTAATGTTGCAAATGGGGGGGGGGGGGAAAGGGCCAAGAAAGAGCATGCGTTGTATTTGACCATGGTTTGTGATCGGTTTACTTGGATGGTTTCAGAATCACCCGCACTCCTAATGTTTTGGGCCAGAAACCCATCAGAACTCCCCAGAAAAAGATCTTCTCCCATGATCAAAAGGCCTTTTGGCACAGGGAGGTTGGCCCTTCACCAGCAAATCGACCTCGAAAAACCCTTGTGGTGTCCAATGCCACGCTTTACGGGTCCCACAGGAACGAGTCATTGTAGGACGCCACCAAACAAACAGAATCCAGAGAGGGTCCCCAGAGACCGTTGCAGCAATTAAGCCTTTGGTCTTAGGTTGCCACTTTCTGTGATACTGTTGACGGACGAAATCCTGCACCGATTTCGCAATGGTTTGCAAGCCCTCGCCCCCCATTTAGTGTTGAAAGTTTACGGGTCTTTGGTTGCAAACATGTTGGAATGACTGCAACCTGCACCACCTTGTGTGAATGTCAACAATATTGGAAGTTTAAGGGCCCTTGGTTGCACACATGCTGGAATGACCGAAATCCTGCACCGCCTTTTTGTTGAATGCCAACAATTACATTGAAAAGGGGTGCGGGATGCGCGGCCTGCCCAGTGGCAGAATGGAGTCGGGAGAGGCGGTGCAGGATTTCGTCCACCAACCGTACCAAGAGAATCCATACAGTACCCCTTTGCAATACAGTAGCAATTAGGATGACACGGTTTGGCATCAGAAAATGATGATCATAGACACGGGCAACAGCCCGCAGCAGTAGGTAGGTGGTTCATCCCAAACTTCATAGGGTTTTTTTCCATTCCAGTTGATGCGAAGCGGATTTTGTGCATCCGCGGTATGCCTTTCTTTCCTTTTTGAAGTATTCTGAATGATGGGCTTTTCCTCACATTGACGCACGAAAGTGACAAATAACTGTAAAGTCATGTCTCGTTCCGCTTCAAGCCTTTTGCGAAGGGAACCGTTGATGCGGCGAAAGCTCGCAAAAGCCTTCGTGAAAAGGATTTGATACTCTCTTCGGTCGGGTTTCTTTCGGTGCAAGTTGGGTCTATGGGCACTTTGGCATCCAAAGGTAAAGACCGCAGAGGGCTAGATTGAGACCAGGGGCTTTCCAAACCTGCAGGAACCCAACAAGTCAAAGGCGCACTTGCCCCTTTTCAGTGGAATTTTCAAGCCTCCAATTCTATGTGCCCAACTGAGCCGTTTTGGTAAGCAACCGCAGGCATCAATGACTGAAGCGGCAGACACTTACCTCCTCACCGGCCCAACCTGCACTAAAAGTGTGCCGGAGAGCGCGTGGGATGCTGAGCCGCACCCTAGAAAGAGCGACGAAAAGAACGTTGAAACCTGTTCACGTGGCTGCTATTTGGTTGGATCTGCAACCGTGTGGGACAACCTGCGCTTTTTGGGCAGGCAGGGGCCAATTGCCATCCAGTCAAATGGAATACGGGAAGGTAGAGTCCTATTTGATACGGTTATGACTTGGCGGTTGTTATGACGGTTATGCTAGTCATGGACCCTGCCCCGCAGCCCTGGTTTCGTCCTATGTGATTTTGGGCCGAAGCTGCAAGAAATGAGCCAACATGTCATGAACAGGTTTGAGTACAAGCGCCCACCATTCCGCACAGTCGGATGGGTCTTTCCAATTTGTTCCTTACAGATTTTGTGCATTCAACCGGGGTGCCTCCTTCTTCTTTTCTTTAAGGGCCGGGTGAAAAGGTGCTTATGCTCCTTCTGAACCTTGGCTGAGAAGGGCTGTGGCTCAAGGGGAACAAGAGCATCTCAACCTCAGGGTGTTTTTTCAGGAATCAGAAAAAGGACGGCCCCAAAGGTTGAGGCCTTAGAGGTCGTTGCGCGGAAAACCTTCAAGGGGTCTTCCTGCGGGAACTTGGTCATGTCTCAGGAGCTTGCGCTGCAGCGCTTGACGCGCCTGAGCTATTTGACCTTACGCTTGCAGACGGAGTTTACACTGGACGAGTGCCTTTGTCGCAAGGGAGTCCTTTTACCCTCCTGTCTACGTTGCCATAAAACCCACCAGAGGGTGCCAATAAACGGAAGATAGTCTTCCACAATGTTTGAGTCAGGTTCCATGGCAACGTGGACGGGAATGTTTGATTCTTACGGACCGACTGAAAGGAACCACCTAGATCAGCTGCAGACCTAGATCAGTTGCTTTGGTTGCTTCTGAGCCTTTCCGATTTGTTGGTTTCCTTGAGCTTTCCGGTTGTTGTGTTGGTTTTTGGCCGGGGCTCTTTCTAGTTTCCTTTTGGTTGGCTTTTTGGAAGCCTGGCATTTTCCTGTTGGTTTTCCTTCGGGTTTGCCGCATGTTATCATTTTGTTTTCTGGGGTGCCTTGCTGTTCCTTCGGTTTCTGTGTCTCTTGCATGTTGACGTGTGTTTGTGATTCGGCTGCCGTTGGCCTTTGGGTTTCCGCAGTGTGTTTTCCTGGTTGTGTTGTATGTTTGGTAGTCTTTGGGTTTTCTTCTGGTTGCCTTTTGCTTTTTAATGGTCTTCTTTGGTTATTCGTGGCATCCATTGTGTTCCTGTTGCTGTTTGCTTTTGTGATTTTGACTCGGTTGACCTGTCACGCGGCAGCCCAAAGGGTTACTTCTCCCTGCATGGAAGGGGGAACGTACAGGTACCCAACCAAAGAGAACCTCCCCCGTGCATGTTTCCTTGATGGGTGCATGTTGGAGACACTCTGAGTATGGGAGGTCGTCAGTTGCTTCCTGGTGCGGGTTGGTTTTTTTAAGGCTGCTTGGGAGTTGGTTTGGGGAACCAAAGGTAGACTAACACCCACGGAAGCTCCCATGCTCGTGCCGTAGGTACTACTCCCAGCTTTGGCTCGACAAAGCGGCGGCAGGCAATGCAGCGCAGAAGGCCGGGCAGACAGTGAGAGCCAAGAAGAGCCGAGAGCCGAGGTGTGCGTTTTCCACAACTCTGAAGGTAGTCTCCATCACGGGCAAATGATCGAATTTCGTGTGGCACCTTGCCAGTCTGAGTGTTCCGTACTTGGCACCCGGATTTTTCGCCTTCATAGGCTAGATCCCCACCCTCCACGAAAATGTGCCCCCTTGGCCAAAAACAGGCATTTTAGGGCACAAACTAGCACGTTCTTCTGCAGAAAACTCCTAAACCTTCCACTTGTGTAATGCTCGTGGCTTTGGACGGCTAGGGAAGCTTGCAATTGAATTGAGGGGTCAACGACTTAGCGCTCGAAACACATATCCCACTTTTGAGCCAAACATTCCGCAAGTTGTAGTTGTCATGGTCATGAACCGATGGCACCACTGCTGCATGTCGAGTGCATTGGCTTTGCAAGGCCAAAACTGTGCTGGAAACGTCGGAATTCGTACGTGCGGGTCGCGACAAGACCCCCTGGCTACGCAAGCGGCGTCCTGGAATCCATGAGGTAGAACTTGCGCCCTTGGAACTTTGACCCATTGCAGCAGGATGGACCACTTACAAAGAACTTGCCATGTTGTCGCTTGCTCCGGACTCCGGCGACGTTATGCAGACACCTGGCGGCAGTCAGAAGACGCTGCCGACAAACGGCGCAAGGCACTGGAGGGCCACTCTTGGTGGTTGCCCAAAACGTAGCTACGCCGCTCGAATTCGGCTAATCGACTCCTAGAACACGACATTTCTGGGAGTTTGGAGATCCAGGTTCAAAAGCGCGTACCCCAATGGTTCCCGTTGTAGGGGACTAAAGTATGCAGAGGCCCCTACCGTGCCCAGCCGGGCGAAGTTTCTTGTCAATGTGGGGATTGCAGAGGTCAAGTCACAGATGCTTTTTGTATTGCTCCCAAAGAAGTTTTGGTTGTCCTGTCGGTTGCCATTAAAAAACCACTATACACGACTCCAACAAAGGCCGCGCCTGGCCAACTGGCTAGGTCGAAGAGGATATGCCCTAAGCCAAGCGCAGGCATCGCTGGCGCGGACGGCGGATTCGCAAGTGGCACAGGCGCTGCTGGCCTTCAAGAACGCTTTCCAGGCGACGCTTCGGAGCGTTGCTTGCCCTTTTCCTGGCCCCCAAGCCCTTTTGGTTCTCCTCCAGGCAGTCCAAACAGATGGTTGTTTTTTGAGGGCACCCTGGTTTTTTGGGGCTTCAATTTGCGGGGTCCGAAGACACACACCCACATGTTCCAGTTGCTTCCACAGCAGAATCATATTCTTTGGTCAGACGTCCAAGTTTTTCTTTTTGGGAGATTCAGCGCTTAGCGCCAGGGACATGCCGCAGAGGGCGAAGGGCGTCAGAACGCTACTCAATCAACCGCATCGGGCGCAGGTGTATCAATACTTGGTAGCGACGCCTGTAGGCTCACAAGGTCCCGGCAACCCTCCATTTCGCCGGGAAGGAATGTGTGCACGTGTCTATACAGTTGCGCTCTGAAAGTTCATCACTTTCCCAGTTGTTTGGACCAGGTTCTCCCTTCATTACTGGGCCAAAAGGTTAGGCCAAATTGTTCTCCAGTCGATCCGGAACGCAGACCACATCCCGCGCCATGGCACCAGGCATATCGCCCGACGGACGAGGAAAGATTGCTCAGTCTGCAGATCAAGTACATCCTCACGAACGACAACCCGTGGCCCGGCGTAGAGCTCGAGCGCACCGGGAGGGCAAGGTGTGAGCCCCGCAACTTCCGTACCCTCCCCACTCTCTTCAGGCATTATCTTCAAAGAATGGGCCAAGACCCTGGAAAATGGGTGGTTTCCAAAGAGAACGATGGGTGAAGCGAATGGGGACTCAAACCTTCGAACAAGTGTTGTTTGAGCATGGCGGCTTCGTAGGGGTGTCCGATTAAGCTTCGGAGGGGTGTCTGATTAAGCAGACCAAAACCCGCAATTCCTGCCAAACACAATTTGAGAACATGTTCCCTCCCCCCGCCAGGCAAACAATGTATGACACCTGGCTCCAACCTCGCATTGGTTCTGCTTGCTATGAGGCTGATGTCACACAGCCTCTATTTGATCCTCCTCGTGGTCCCCTTCCGGGGTGACGAGCCACTTTCAACATATCAAACAAGATCATTGTTCCCCTCTGGCCACTGGAGGTCAGTTCTTCACCGATTTTCGGATGTCCTGCGTTTTCCGCATGTTCAGGCCCGGGGAGAAGGCCAAGTTGGACTACGCGGAGGGAAATGAGGCGTACCACGCGGTACACAAGATGTACCACCCAACGCCGCGCGGTGAAGCGAATCCACAAATCAAAGCCAGCTCCTTTTTGGTCACAGGCTATGGCAAGCCCACCAACAGGGGAAATGAAGCTTACTTGTTGTGTTGGGGGTCCTTTACTGGGGGGTCTCTCACTTCCACTACGGGAATTACGGCGTGTTCAGGTGAGTTTGCTGAGAATGGACAGGCTCCGGACCATAACGGATGCATGCATAATAACTGCACACACATAATATATATATTATATGTATGTATGTATGTATGTATGTAATGTATGTATGTATGTATGTATGTATGTATGTATGTATGTATGTATGTATGTATGTATGTATGTATGTATGTATGTATGTATGTATGTATGTATGTATGTATGTATGTATGTATGTATGTATGTATGTATGTATGTATGTATGTATGTATGTATGTATGTATGTATGTATGTATGTATGTATGTATGTATGTATGTATGTATGTATGTATGTATGTATGTATGTATGTATGTATGTATGTATGTATGTATGTATGTATGTATGTATGTATGTATGTATGTATGTATGTATGTATGTATGTATGTATGTATGTATGTATGTATGTATGTATGTATGTATGTATGTATGTATGTATGTATGTATGTATGTATGTATGTATGTATGTATGTATGTATGTATGTATGTATGTATGTATGTATGTATGTATGTATGTATGTATGTATGTATGTATGTATGTATGTATGTATGTATGTATGTATGTATGTATGTATGTATGTATGTATGTATGTATGTATGTATGTATGTATGTATGTATGTATGTATGTATGTATGTATGTATGTATGTATGTATGTATGTATGTAATGTATGTATGTGTATGTATGTATGTATGTATGTATGTATGTATGTATGTATGTATGTATGTATGTATGTATGTATGTATGTATGTATGTATGTATGTATGTATGTATGTATGTATGTATGTATGTATGTATGTATGTATGTATGTATGTATGTATGTATGTATGTATGTATGTATGTATGTATGTATGTATGTATGTATGTATGTATGTATGTATGTATGTATGTATGTATGTATGTATGTATGTATGTATGTATGTAATGTATGTATGTATGTATGTATGTATGTATGTATGTATGTATGTATGTATGTATGTATGTATGTATGTATGTATGTATGTATGTATGTATGTATGTATGTAATGTATGTATGTATGTATGTATGTATGTATGTATGTATGTATGTATGTATGTATGTATGTATGTAATGTATGTATGTATGTATGTATGTATGTATGTATGTATGTATGTATGTATAATGTATGTATGTATGTATGTATGTATGTATGTATGTATGTATGTAATGTATGTATGTATGTATGTATGTATGTATGTATGTATGTATGTATGTATGTATGTATGTATGTATGTATGTATGTATGTATGTATGTATGTAATGTGTAATGTATGTATGTATGTATGTATGTATGTATGTATGTATGTATGTATGTATGTATGTATGTATGTATGTATGTATGTATGTATGTATGTATGTATGTATGTATGTATGTATGTATGTATGTATGTATGTATGTATGTATGTATGTATGTATGTATGTATGTATGTATGTATGTATGTATGTATGTATGTATGTATGTATGTATGTATGTATGTATGTATGTATGTATGTATGTATGTATGTATGTATGTATGTATGTATGTATGTATGTATGTATGTATGTATGTATGTATGTATGTATGTATGTATGTATGTATGTATGTATGTATGTATGTATGTATGTATGTATGTATGTATGTATGTATGTATGTATGTATGTATGTATATGTATGTATGTATGTATGTATGTATGTATGTATGTATGTATGTATGTATATGTATGTATGTATGTATGTATGTATGTATGTATGTATGTATGTATGTATGTATGTATGTATGTATGTATGTATGTATGTATGTATGTATGTATGTATGTATGTATGTATGTATGTATGTAATGTAATGTATGTATGTAATGTAATGTATGTATGTATGTATGTATGTATGTATGTATGTATGTATGTATGTATGTATGTATGTATGTATGTATGTATGTATGTATGTATGTATGTATGTATGTATGTATGTATGTATGTATGTATGTATGTATGTATGTATGTATGTATGTATGTATGTATGTATGTATGTATGTATGTATGTATGTATGTATGTATGTATGTATGTATGTATGTATGTATGTATGTATGTATGTATGTATGTATGTATGTATGTATGTATGTATGTATGTATGTATGTATGTATGTATGTATGTATGTATGTATGTATGTATGTATGTATGTATGTATGTATGTATGTATGTATGTATGTATGTATGTATGTATGTATGTATGTATGTATGTATGTATGTATGTATGTATGTATGTATGTATGTATGTATGTATGTATGTATGTATGTATGTATGTATGTATGTATGTATGTATGTATGTATGTATGTATGTATGTATGTATGTATGTATGTATGTATGTATGTATGTATGTATGTATGTGTATGTATGTATGTATGTATGTATGTATGTATGTATGTATGTATGTATGTATGTATGTATGTATGTATGTATGTATGTATGTATGTATGTATGTATGTATGTATGTATGTATGTATGTATGTATGTATGTATGTATGTATGTATGTATGTATGTATGTATGTATGTATGTATGTATGTATGTATGTATGTATGTATGTATGTATGTATGTATGTATGTATGTATGTATGTATGTATGTATGTATGTATGTATGTATGTATGTATGTATGTATGTATGTATGTATGTATGTATGTATGTGTATATACAGTATGTATTTCTGAAAAGGGGGTGGAATATCTATATACACATATATATATATATATTATATACACAGTATTTCAAGAAATCGGGTAGCCCTCGGACCCAGAAGCAAATTGCTGGGAGAACTGCTGCTGCTTTGCTTTGCACGGCTGAGCGGAGCTTCTGGCTCGCTGCGCAGATCTCCCAGGAACGCTGTGCGGGGCAAAGCGCTTAGCCAAGAAGGACACACCAATCGACGCAGCCGCTCACGCAAAAGCCTGGCTGCTTCGACTTATCTCTTGCGGGGCAGCGTCGCTGCTGCCTGCCAGCCTCAGGCGACGCCAGTCTTCTGCGACTCACTTCGCCGCTCTCCGGCGGCGAACTTGCCGCGTTTTTGTGCCAGCTTTTGGGTCCAGAAAATGGCTGCAAAAAGGGGCGCGCCTAAAGCAACTCTAATCCTGATACCTGATTCTCGGCACTTGGCTGCCTTTCGCGGAGCGCAGTGTGCCAAAATTGGGTCCAGAACGCTAGCCGGCAGCGGCCCTCTGAGCCATACTCACGTTGCAACGCAATCGAGCTCGGCTTGAGCCCCCCGCGCGCGCGCGCACGCCAGCGCTGCTCGGCTCAATTCGGCTCATGGTGTCAAGCATCGATCGTGTCAGCCAGCGGCCCGCGCGCAGCAGCCGCCATCTCAGCAGCATGGATCACGGACATGCAAATAATTCAACTATGAACCACGCAGCAAGCTAAAAAGCACATGTGGGGTACACCACACTCAAGCCAAACAACCTGATTTTCCGGCGCGGATTTTGGGCCCAAAGAAGATTGCCAGATCACGCGTCCCCGCTGCTTGGCGCTTTAATGCTGCCTGGGCGATTGACGGGCCTGCCCCGTTCGCATAAGTTGGGCCCCTTGCGAAAATCAAGCTTCTGGGCTTCCGTTGGCCTGGGCCGTCCCCCCTTGCAATTAACAATGTAAGGTCCAAATTGTGCGCTCAGTCCCATAGGAAGTGCGGTCCCGCGCCGGTCCTGTGGAGGTCCGCGCCCCGGCCTGCAATCTGCAAGGCGCAATGCCGAGGAGTGTGGCACCCTTCCGGCCTTCCGGGCTGTGGAAAACGCATTGGCCGGCCTGTGCAGCAGAAGCACTCGTTAGCGCGACCCCAGACAAGGGTTCGCAAGAGCAAAGGATCTGTGGTCGGCGAGCCCCTGCTGCATATAGATCTACAAGTAGACACGAGGTTTGGCCTAAGTATAGGGAGGGACACTGGAGAACCCGCAACTTTTTCTACAGTTATGTGGCAAGGCATGGATGACTAATGACCCGCCGGCGAGTAAATCCGGCGAATAGTATGGGTTGTCCCTAGCAAAAGTGAAGTTTTGCTTCTAGAATGTGACGCGAACATTCATCAAACTAGAAACTCCAGTTTTTCGGCCCGCGTGAAACGAAGCTGCAAGCTTGTTTGTCCAAATCAAGTCGGTCTGTTGACCTCTGGTGGGTTTCTGCTCCTAGCAAATTATCAGCCACAGCTGCCACACAGAACAGGTTTACCCCTTCCCAAGTGTTTCATTCCCTGAAGGCCCTTTGGTCGTTAGCGGGTTGTTTCAGTTGATGCAGCGAGGGTTCCGGGGCTACTTCAAGGGAAGCCCTTTGGCACATTTCCTGCCGTTGTTAGCCAAGGGAGAATCACGTGGGAGCACATGACCGTTGTGTCATCAGCGTTGAGAGGGGCCCACAACATAAGAGGGGGGACAGGAAAGGTCACAAGACTCGGGGCAATGTTGGCCTGCTAGGCATTGTTCGACATCATCGTTTCTTTTGTTGGGCGCCGAGTCATTGTTTTGGAAAGGTTTTGGTTGATGGGCCCGGACTGACTCAGCAGCTACAGGGAGCTAGGTGGGTGAAAGGATGCGCTGGAATGAATCACTTCTAAGGTACCGTGCGCTTCTCCAATCCGAGCACTACTATGACATCTTCTTCTTCGACCCCGATGGCAACTGTATCTACTCTGTCAGCAAGGACATCCTTGCAGCTCAATTGTTTTTCTAACGCACGCGCGCCAGAGCAAGCAGGCCACATGATTGCTGCAGACTGAAGGTACATTTGACAAATTTGTTTGTGCAAAAAATCAGCACGTAATGGACTATGCGATCGGCATGAACATGCAGATGCAAATGGGAATGTGATTGAATGCAACGGCATCAACATTGCATGTGAAGTAGTCATGTCATATTTACATTGCACGTAAACATGCACGTAGACATAGCCGGGTGTTGTGGTATGTGTTGGGCATTGGTCGGAAGCAACGGCCCCTTGAAGTTGGACAGGCATTTTGCACCTTCCTTGTGGCTACGTTTTCCGCATGGAACTTGGGGGGGGTCCTGGAAGACTTGACCCTGTAGGTTTTGTGTTGGACAGTTTCCTGACTTAGCGCATTTGCTCGGGGTTTGCCCGGGCCCTTAGCTCCCTTTTTGTCACTTGTCCAAAGCCGACAATTGAACCTTTCGGCTTTCCCTGTTTGGCCCTTCTTAAGGGTTCTAATTCGGGTGTGGGTCGGTTAGGATTGGTTTTGGAGCGTTACAAAGTCAGGCAACCACATCCCTAAAGCAACCCTAAAGCCACTGCGCAACCAGCCACGCACGTGGCACAAATCGACTCCGAGCCAACCCTAACCCCGCGCAAAGTCAACCCTAAACAGCAGCCTGGATATATCAGCCAGCCCGTTGCCGAGCCTGATCAACCCCCACCCTCATTACGAAACCAGCACCGAGCAAATCCCCACCGCCAACAGGCAGCCCCAGGTCCGAGTGAGTGATGCTGGGGATGCGACCAATTCCGTCTCTTGCCCCCAACCCAGGAGGCCCTGGTCCAGGTCATGCTGGGGATGTTGCCAGCCCCAACCAGCCCAAGAAAAGCAAACACACCTCTACCGACCTTTGAGGTTATGGTGTTGAGGAGGGAATCTTGAAAAAAGAAACATGTTTTCGACGAATGGGCAGGAGCCGGACTTTGCAACCAACTTTGCTGCACAGGGCAGCGGCGAGTGGAAAGACTCCGGCCTGGGAGATGCCTATAGGCCGCGCGCTCCGCGTGGTTGCCATTGGCTTGCAAACCAACCTTTCGGCATGGACGCCATTCATAAATCCCTGGAGGGAACGCTTCATTGGGGGAAACGCCGGCCTTGTTGTCCCAACAGGATGAATCGGGGTGACCATGCCCAGAATTGGTTGGCCCAAAGCCTGGTACACTGACAAACCCCTGCACTCCAAGTTTCCTGTGAGATGGTCACCCAGTTTGTGCGTGATTAATGTGTGTGTGCGTGTGTGTGTGTGTTGTCGGGACGGGATTTCAAGGCTTCATGTTTTTTCCAAGCTCCGTATGATTTCCAATTTGGGACGCGATAGAGCTTTGCTCCGGATGAGCACGCAACAATATTTGGCTCTTTGTGTTGGTACAAGTTTGATATGACCCAAAGCCATTTTCAGGGGTCCCGCATCCTGGAGGATGTTTGGGAGGCTAAAGCCGCAACTTAGCAAAGAGTGTTCTTGTGTTTTCTTGGGTCCCTTCGTCTTCTTGGGATTGGCGAATCGCATGTTGTCACTCAAATATGCGGACCACGGCCATGCTGGATCGAAATTTGGCTGGTTCCCCGTGATAGCGAGGTGTTGTTTCTTTCAGGCACCCTCCCACTGCGAAGTTAGCGAAGGGCAGTTTTGTGTTCAATAGGCCAAGCGTGCATGCCAGAGTTTCGTGGGACCAAAAAACACATGTTTGATGGAAGAGCTTTCATGAGGTGTTACTTACAATCTCCAATTTAGCTGATTCAAATGGAAACCAACAGGAACCACCAATTGTCGGGGTCCCCCATTTCGAGGCATGCACATTATACGCAAAAGTATCGGTATTGTAGAATAAAAGGGAGCCATGTGAGAATTCGGAATGTTAATTTGTGGCAGGGCCGCGCTGCAGAACCCGACGTCAGTGAGCCTTGGCTAGCTTGCGGTTTACTTGTGCTTTCCGTCAAGCGAGGGCCAGGTTGATAAATCCGCGGCCAACATTAAAAGAGCTTCCCCAGGCAGTAACATGACAGATAAGTCATTTTTTGGGGACTAAGATCCTTTAAGGGAATGGTCTATGAAAGCTTTGGTTTTTGGTCAACGCAGCAAGGACGTTACCACATTGCTCACAGTCATTTTTGGAATGTGCTTTGGTAACTGTCGCTTAGGGAGAAAAGCAGCAACTGCCCTTGGGCACTCCCCCTTTGAGGAACCCTTTGTGGGGTTCCAGGTCAATGCAGAGCTGCCCGTTTCCTGAGGAATTACATCGATTGGAGGCCGTATGGCCCCAGCGACGGGGCGCCAGCCAGCTTCCTCTCAATCGCGGTGCACTCAAGGCGCCGCCGGTTTTCGCATCGGTGTTTAATGTCTCTATGAGGTTGTCCCGCAATGGGGGGGCGGGGGGACCTCTTTGGTTTTTTCGTGCTCAAGGCAAACTAAAAGGAACTGGTTCGTTCTTAGAGATGTTCTTCCGCTAGCTGGCTACATATTTCGAGGACAAGAATCCTGGTAATCGACAGACATCCTGAATTGACAAACCCCTGGTTGATTAACCGGGGGGGCGCCCCCAGCTTGGGAATCTGTTAATTGTGGGGGCACCCAGGTTGATTACATAAGGGTATGGATGTTTTCCAAAATCAGGGGCCCTGCTGGATGGAGGAAACCCGAAGACCCTAAAGGAAACCAAATACTTGAAACCACATATTTGTGTGGTCCCTTTTTGCACTGATTTGCCGCTTGTGGAACCATCATGTGTGTGGACATTTGGTCCACTCCACCTTCCTACATTGACCTGCTTCCGCGGGCTGTTGGTTGCGCCTTTCGCAACCCGTCACGTTGGCACTATCACGCAGCAGTTGTTCAGTGTTCCATTCTACGAATGAGCCACTGGCAACGCTGAATAGTGAATGGTGGTCGCCGTCCACATACAGTCTGACCCTACTAGGCTTGAGCATATTTTTTGCGGTTTCTGGGTTCAGAGCCGTTGATGGTCCTACCATGTACTTAGGTGAGGACAAGCGCGTGTTTGGAAAGCAAACTGTGTGGCCCGAAGCCATTATTTAACAAGGCAACACTCAAAGCAGTTTTGTTTGAAGATGTTTTTGGCCAAGTGACGTTTCCTTCCATGTTCAATTGGCGTAGCCAGGGGGTTCACTTCAACCGCTGGTTCCTGATGGCTCCACCAAGAAATCATTTGCACGCCATACATCTATCCAAATCGGAAGTAAACGGCTGCTCCCCTACAGATTGACATGGAATTCAACATGTAACATCAATATAATGTCCCTGTTGTGGGCCCTCGTTGTTTTGCGTGTGAATTTGCAGGAGTAAGTAGGCTCTCAGCTCTGGAAAGTATGCACTTTCAGGGCGTCCCTTTGAGTTTTGTGTCTGCGGATTCTGAGCATTCCCCAAAGCTAACAGATGTGGGATGATGAGAGAGGGAGGTTTCAAACCGGCCAGGTTCCGGACGGAGGCTTGGGGTCTCTAGATTGAAGGGTACGCAAGCGCGAACAGGGGGAAGGGAGGTGAAACCAGAACTTTTAGAGGTCCGGGAACGCGATGATGCACATGGCTCGCAATGGTGGCAGAGGGCAGGTATGTGCTTATGAGTTGCACTGGGATGATTAATTACTTTTGGAGGTCGTCTCCTTCAAGCTTGCGCATTCGAGGGTTTACTTTGAGGATGTCACTTCTGGACAAATCAGAACGCGCGATCCGCCCTTTTTGGGATTCGGTGGTTAGGACAGCGGGCAGCCCTCCAACCAGTTGCCCTTGAGGCACCCTTGGCGGGGGGTTGGTGTTCGTTTGCGGTTTAGGTTAGGGTTACCTTCAGGTTGGGTGCGGGTTGCTTTTAGCTGCGTGTAGATGGTTTTAGGGTCAGGGCTGGATTTTCGGTTTGGCCTAGTAGTTTTGGGTTGCTGTGGGTCTCGGGTGGTGGGCTCTGGCTGTCTGACCGGCCGTGTCGGCCCTCGCAGCGCGGGGGATCTGATCGGCGTCCTGGCCACGCAGCTGCCGCCCAACCTGCTGCCCCGAAACTCCTCGCTGCTGCTGGCGCCTCGGAAGCACTCGGTGGACGAATTGGCAGTGTATTTTTTGGGTGGGGATTTGAGGACTTGAAGAAAATCCTCTGGTCGGACGGGGGTTGTTAAATTAATCTGGGCTCAAATATCACCGTTATATGCCTATATATATATGTGTATGTCTATACCTAGGGAGTGAGTATCTCTACTGGGGTCTCCTCCGAGACCATCTTGCATTTGAAGGTAGACTAAACATGAAGCAGATTCTGAACATACTTGTTTGGGGTTACCCGGTTGGTCCAAGATTGGTGCAACTGGAGTCTCTTTCGACAAGAAACTCAGTTTGCGCAAGATATGCACCCGAGTGACGCTGTTGGGTCAAAGGTTCAGCCAAAATGCTCAGGTAAGTTTAGTTGCCCGGCTGATGGCTTGTAACTTCAGAGGGATCCCCTCCCCTGCGATCTTTTCGCCATGCCTTGAGGAAACGGGCATTGCGGAGGTGAAGGAGCTCCTCTGGAAGTTCAGGCGCGGCACTTCTTATGGGAACTGGACTGAAAGAGATCTGCTTGAGGTTTACTGGATTCTTCAAAAATACTCGAACACTTTTTGGTGAACGCTGAGAAGGTCCCAACAGTTCAACATGTTTTTTGTCCGCAGAAAACAACTTACTCAGTGGCTATAGATGGATATAATTATGGTGCGAAAAACTCTCGGGGACAAAAGCAAGCGGCCTCTTTGAAGAACCTTGCCTGGAGCGACCCCTCGTTTTGCCTTTCACGAAAGGGCGCCAAAAGGCATGGTGTTTTTCCTACACGCGAGCGTGTGGACTTCGTTTGTTCTTTCCAAGGGTCAGAAGGCACAAACTGCATAGTTTAGGTGGACCCACGGCTCTTTGGAATGCTGGCGACTCCTTTCGGGGTTTACAAAGCTGGTTGGGGGAATCCCCTTTGATTTCAAGGCTACGCATCTCAATGTACTCACACGCGCTGGCCAGCATTTTCAATCCTCCAGGTTGCCCTTTTGTTGGCTTCCTTTGAGCCTAAAAATACCCTGGCTCCGAAACACCAAAGAGGCGTCCCTTTCAGGTTGCGCTGTGGGAATCCCGGACATTTCCTTGCACGGAGCCTGAAAGCGGTCCTTGGCTTAAAGGAGAGCTTTTCTGGGTAAGGGCTGGAACCCCCCCCCAAAAAAAGACAACAACATGCTCACACAATGTTTCTGCAAGAGTTATTTCGATCGGGAAAAGAAGCATGGATGAAGATCCCTTGGGCATTTCTTAATGGAATTTGAAGACGTACTAGTAATTTGCCGGGCGTCAGCCGGCGTCCCTTCAAAATCAACCACAGGTGCAAGGCTTCGGGATGCATAGGTCACATGTTTTCGTATCCGTCAGGTACGGCAGCCTCTCAGAGGGCATCCACACACCTGCCACCCAGCCCATCGCCGACGCCCTGCCGTCGGAAGGCATGTGGCAAGAGCACCCGGGCCGCATGCGAGGAGCAAACAAAGCGAGCCTCGAGATCTTACAACCACGGGGTCCTGACAGGGAAAAAAGGCACGTTTGGTCAACAGGCCAACTGTGTTCAGAAGGGATCACCTTGTTTGGTAGCTGTTTGGAAGGCTCACTAAAACTTTTGGACAGATCGATTTAATTGCAGCTTTAGCGGTAAAACACGATTGTGGGACTTATTCCGACCAACCCACTCAGAAAGTGAGGTGTCCTTTTCCTTTTTCATAGGTCGCCAACCACCAATCTTCAAATTGAAGGATCCTTGTATTCAGATGTGAAGTTGGCCCTTCTAAGCATGATGTGTCCTTCTGGTTTGCCGGGAAAATGTGAATATACCTCAGTGTTTCATGCAAGTAATGTAGTCCATTCTCCAAATTGGGATATGAAAACAACACGTTGCACCTTCTTGACGTAAGGGTTGAAAAGGAAAGCATGAAGCTGAAAAGCCATTTGGGAGGGCCTCCAGATTTTGACAAGCTATTTGCGAATTTGCTTGGGGTTCGCTTCCCCAATGGCCCCATTTTAAGATGCACCAGTCCGGGAGAAGAGAACACGAAGTGTGGTCATTGCTTTGATATCCTTGTCAGTCCATTGTTAGCTTCGGCTTGCCTAACCTCATTTCCGCTTGGGAGAATACCTCGTGTTGCGTTCACATTCCTCTAGCAAGGGTGGCAGGAGGCCCATGTTTTTGATATTTCTTGCTCCTGTGCAAATTGCAGCGGGGCAACCTCAGGTTCCTTTCTTGCGGGTTCCTTCACGCCAGATGGCACCATCTCCATGTTTGATAACACTTTTTGACTTTGACTCATGTACGCCTCTTCACCATTCCTTTTCCTTCCCCAAGTCTCACTTGGAATGACTTGGAATGACTTGGAAGGAATGGAGGCTGTTAGGAAGAAAGGAGACAGATAACTAGAGGACAATTGGCCCGAAAGCATTTTTCCACAGGTGCTCATCCAGCCGCGGAGACACCTTTTTACATCGCTGCGGCGAGCGTGTCTGCGCGCGGCATGCTCAGTGTGTATGGTCACATGAGAGCTCCATCTCATCATCCTACTTTCCTCTCGAACTGCGCCGCGCGATTTCTCACGAAAGTGGTCTGCGCAAGCTGCATTGTTCCAGGCTGCTGCGCGCCAGTTGCTCTCTGCAAGCTGCTGCACGCAAGTGCTCTGTGCAAGTTGCTCTGCGCAAGCAAGTTGCTCTGCGCAAGTGCTCTGCGCCAGTTGCTCCGCGCAAGCGCTTTGCGCATGTGCTCTCTGCAAGTTGGTCTGTGCAAGTTGCTCTGCGCCAGTTGCTCCGCGCAAGCGCTTCGCGCATGTGCTCTGTGCAAGTTGCTCTGCGCAAATGCTCTGAGCAAGTTGCTCTGCGCAAGTGCTCTGCGCCAGTTGCTCCGTGCAAGCAGTTTGCGCATGTGCTCTGTGCAAGTTGGTCTGTGCAAGTTGCTCTGCGCAAGTGCTTTGTGCAATTGCTCTGTGCAAGTTGCTCTGCGCAAGTTGCTCTGCGCAAGTGACTCTGCGCAAGTTGCTCTGCGCAAGTGTGCCGGAGCTGTGGGAATGTACTTCGCGTACTATTCTTGTACTTAAAAGTTGCGATTTTCCAGCCGGAGCTGCGGGGGTGTGCTCCGCGTACTACGTTTGTACTTAAAAGTTGCGATTTTCCAGCCTGAGCTGCGGGAGCACGCTCCGCATACTACGTCTGTACTTAAAAGTTGCGATTTTCCAGCCGGAGCTGCAGGAGCACGCTCCGCGTACTACGTTTGTACTTAAAAGCTGCGATTTTCAAGCCGGAGCTGCCGCGGACCAGGGGGGAATCGAACCCGCAACTGCGGGATTGCGAAGCAGGCGCGCAAACCACGAGACAACTTCCAAAAGGCCGTTTCGCGAGCAAGAAAAAAGCACGGCCCCACAGCGAGAGCGCTTCGACACGCACAATCTCCGCAGAGGGTTCGCCGAGACTAAGACAAATTCGCACGGCGCCAGCGAGAGCGCTTCGACGCGCACGATCTCCGCAGAGGGTCGCGCGCGGACCGCAGAAATCGCAAAAAGTCCACAGTTTTTGAACCTCGACCACGCGAATCTCCGCAGAGGCTCGCGCGCGCACCGCAGAAATCGTAAAAAGCCTCCTTTTTTTGAACCTCGACCACGCGAATCTCCGCAGAGGGTCGCGCGCGCACCGCAGAAATCGTAATTTTTTGGCCTCGACCACGCGAATCTCCGCAGAAATCGTAAAAAAGTCTCAGTTTTTGAGCCTCGACCACGCGAATCTCCGCAGAGGGTCGCGCGCGCACCGCAGAAATCGTAAAAAGCCTCCAGTTTTTGAACCTCGACCACGCGAATCTCCGCAGAGGGTCGCAATCCCGAGCGATGATCAAACTCCCGCCCCGGCGCCTTAGAAACCTAAACTAACTTACATAGCTGCTTACGCCGAAGCTCTACGCAAGCTCTACCTAACCTTGGCTCTGTGCCACCTGGGTCTGTGTCACTTGGCTCTGTGCCACTTGGCTCTATGTAACTTGGCTCTATGTAACTTAGCTCTATGTAACTTGGCTCTATGTAACCTGGCTCTATGTAACTTGGCTCTATGTAACATGGCTCTATGTAACTTGGCTCTATGTAACTTGGCTCTATGATGTAACTTGGCTCTGTGCCACTTGGCTCTGTGCAACTTGGCTCTATGTAACTTGGCTCTATGTAACTTGGCTCTGTGCCACTTGCTCTACTTGGCTCTATGTAACATGGCTCTATGTAACTTGGCTCTATGCAACTTGGCTCTATGATGTAACTTGGCTCTGTGCCACTTGGCTCTGTGCAACTTGGCTCTAGCCACTTGCTCTATGTAACTTGGCTCTATGTAACTTGGCTCTATGTAACTTGGCTCTATGTAACTTGGCTCTATGTAACTTGGCTCTATGTAACTTGGCTCTATGTAACTTGGCTCTATGTAACTTGGCTCTATGTAACTTGGCTCTATGTAACTTGGCTCTATGTAACTTGGCTCTATGTAACTTGGCTCTATGTAACTTGGCTCTATGTAACTTGGCTCTATGTAACTTGGCTCTATGTAACTTGGCTCTATGTAACTTGGCTCTATGTAACTTGGCTCTATGTAACTTGGCTCTATGTAACTTGGCTCTATGTAACTTGGCTCTATGTAACTTGGCTCTATGTAACTTGGCTCTATGTAACTTCGCTCTGTGCAACTTGGCTCTGTGCAACTTGGCTCTGTGTAACTTGTCCAAGAGCTCCGCACGGAAGAGCCCTTCGCCATGCTTTCGGGAATAAAGAAAAATAATGCACACCTAAGGACTGTTAACGCCTGGACTGGATAAGACCCGTCTTTTCAATAGTCTTGCCGCTGCCGGGCGGGCATCAGATACCGGCCTTATCAGCTTCCAGCTTGCTTCCTTGAGGTTTGCGGCTGCTTTGCAGGCATGGGGCTGGGAGACGGGGGCCCGGGGACGAGAGCCACTGCCGCGAACTGAGTTGTTGCAAGTCCGATGGTTTGTCCGGTGGTGTTGACCTTTGGGGGTCAGGGTTGTCATCCTCAAACCCCCATGGCGAGCTGCGCGACTCAGACTCAGAATTCATCCTAATCGCCAACCTGGGGCCCTCCCCTTGCTTGCGCAAACGTGTGCGCGGCGATGGGGCGTTCCCAAATTTGCAGCTGACCTGCAGACAGACAAGGAACTTTGGACAATTGCTTGGCAAACAAGAACTCCCTCACTATTTCCTGAATATGTTTCCACGTGTTGCAGGATTCACAATGGCCAACCCCTTCTAGAAGCTCTCCAAAACGTCGGAGGTGCCTCCAGCAAACCACTGCTAGGAAGCTTGCTAGGGATTGAGTACGTACTTTACCTCAAATATCTTCAAGCAAATTGAAGCACGGCTTCTCGGGCAAGCCTTTGTCAATCCCAAGTTCACCCTAAGTTAAGCAATGGGGTTGAATTCTTACCAAGCTTTTTCTTGTTTGTTTATTAATGTGTGAGAATATTATTCCTGCTTAGCCTGGTCAGGCTTGATTGCAGCAAACACGGGTTAAGATTTGATAGCCACATGTTAGGCTTTGGCTGGTCATTAGTTTTGCTTTTCTTGGCCCTAATCATGGCTTAGCTCGGGCTTAGCTTAGATTTACCACTCTGGCCGTGCTTGCAAGAAGGGACTATCAGCTTCCCCCCTCCTCCCCCCCTGCAACTTTGCCTGCGCAACCATTATGATAGATACATGCCCGCCGCAGTTTGGCTTTTTTGGACATTCACCCCCTCGTGGGCAAGTGTCAAAACAAGGGGCCACCCAAAATGATAGCCCCCCCCCCCCCCAACAAAAAGGAAAGCACAACAGCACAAAGTGAAAGAACACACAGGTGTATATTACCCTTCCCTCCCCCCCCTCCCCCCCAAAAAATGGCAAGAACAAACACACACACACACACACGAACACGGAAAGGCGCGTGCGGTTTACTTCGGTCCTTCGGTCCTTCGGTCCTTCAGGCGGGGGATGGCTCTCTGGTCCGGCAGCGTGGCGACGCGTTGGTGGCCCAAATCGCCCGCCTGGAGCCACTCCTTGTGGCGGGGGCCGCGACGTATGCCCCAGCGGTGTCCGGCAGCTCGGGCCTTCGGGTTGGAACCCTGGGTGGTTGCCGTTGGCCTTACCCACTCCCAGAGCTCCTAGACTTTTCAGATGTTTTGTGTTTTTTTTATTTATTTTTTTAGGGGGGGGGGGGGTTGGACCATGGTGGTAAATACAAAACTTGGTTTCTGTTTGGCCAATCCGCTCAGGAAGTGAGCTTACGCAAGGTTTCCATGCTGGGGCCTCCGATCTCAAAACGGCTCTATGTAGGTAAACTTGACAAAAAGTCGGGTTGTTATGTTAATTTTGGAATATTGATGTGGGCCAAGCTTGGCTGCCGAAGTGATAGCCGGGGACATGTAAGAAGCCCTGGTCGCCAGGCGTAGTTCCATCCCAAGGGACAGGGTCTCCCGAGGCGTCATGCGCCAACGGACCCCGAGGCGCCAAGATCTCCCTGGCCGGCGAGCAGCTGGCGCTGCTTCAGCGCCTCACCGGCGAAGCGGTAAATGCGGCCAGCTCCGACTCAGGCGAAGCGAGCTCGGAAAAAAATACCAAAATTCCCCAGGGAAGTCTTTGCATCTGTATATCTATATATATATATATCATTTGTATGTCTATGGTATCTAGGCATCTTTGTGTCTGTGTATATATCCATGCTTAAGTTCTAAAACTCTCTTTTCGCACGGTCATTTGCGACAGAAGCAAAGTATTGCCAGACGAGACACGCTTGTCGTTTTGTTTTTGTTGAGGGAGTTTCCTTGATAGTCCAGCAACTTGTTTACAGTTTGGGGGTTGGACCAGTCTGGACCAGACAAAAAGGCAGCCGCTCAGGGTGTGGGTGCTGAAGTCTGTCACGTTTACGTGTGTTGCATAATTAAGGCATAAGGTTCGCTATGGGCCGGAATCAACCGCCTCATTTGCCTCATTTGTGCAGGGGCAAAAGAGTAATCACATGAAATCGAATGAAGCCAGAGCACTACTTTGGAAGGACAGCGCAATGGCACCTCCAGGTGTTTGCATTCATTTGTTGCGTTCCGTCTGTTTGTGCCTATGTCATCAGAGGTTGAGCAACTCTGCTTGACCAAGCCGCATTCCCCAGGCCAGTTTCGAAAGGCTTGGTTCACTGGGATTGTTTGTTCTTGCACGGGTACTCCTACAATTTCAGTCGCACTTCCATTTTCTGCGAGGAAATCAATATCCTCCCCTGCACCCGTTGGGGATTGTGCACCTACCTGATCGGCACATTGGCATGAACAAAAACAACCACTACTTCCCGCATGTCTGGGTGCTAAATGGCCGCTACGGTTTACGCCACAGGAACACGAAAAGACGTTTGCATCTTTAAGTTTTTTGCCCGGCCCCAATCCCCCTCTTTGGCACCTTCGAGCCAACTTCGAGAACTTTCAGGTGCCCTATCCACCGCTCTGCAAAGGGGCATGCGAAGGGCGGGGGACATCGAAATCCTTTGCTTGCTTGTCACAGATGCACTCGACCTCCATCTTGCCTGGCTTGGAAGCAGGCAGGTCGAAAGAAAGGCTCGGCTCAGAAGGAACTTCCTTCTATGGTCTCCTCAGAAGGCCCGCATTTTTTTCTGCTCCGTATCAGCATTCAACTCGCCTCGCTTTTTGGTCCTTCCGCCATGTTTGCAAATGTAATGAGAGTGGCATGTTTCCCATGGAAATAATTGCGCATCCACGGGGGCCACGCAATTACCTTCAATTCGCCAGGGGGGGTAGTAGGTGTATGAAAGACCTTGTTCGAAATAGAAAAGGGCTGCAAGTTTCCGGGGGTGGGATCCAGCCCACCAGGCAAAAACAATTCACTGTAGGCATGTGTTTTAATCAAATAACAACTTTGTACACATTCCGAACGCCTGTTGGTTGCGTCTTGTGGATACGGATGCTTACTAAGGGGCTAAAACAGCAGCTGGTTGGAAAAGCAACGTCCCCTGCTCTCATTGTTTGGCCCAGAAGCTTATGATGTTTGTAAGTCTTTCAGGCGAAGTTTCTGCGCCAAACATCGCCAGTTGCGATCGTCACTGCGGACATCGCCACCTTCGAGGCCAACTTGCAGGCATGGGCGCCCCAAATGGCAGCTTGATGTGAGCGATGTTGGAACAGCGTTGCTGGAAAATGTTCCAGAACTTCACTTGATTTACATCTTAGTCCTGGACAACCATTAGACCACAGTACATCATGCGGTAGATTAAATACGCGCGCAATATACGTACAGATACATGTCTGTATATACATATATACAGTATATATCATATATACAGTGTATATATGGTACACACACACACAAAACACAGACAATCTTGGGGAGATGCGCGACCTCACCCGCGATGAAGGTTCCTTTCGTGGGTGTCCCTATTTCAGGCTGGTGACTGATGATAGTTCACTCAGGGCATTCTGGACAGAATGTCCGTGTACATGTGCGTTCGTTCCCCTTTAGTTCCTGGACAAGACCCAAAGAAGCAAGGGACAAATGGGGTAAATCATCCTATGAGGCAGCGTCGTATGTGTGCTGTTGGGTTTGAAGTTCTCTATGCGTTTGAAGACGTCTTTGAAGCGAATATCCCCATGTGGGGAACGGTCCACATTTAAGGGCAGCCCTTGTCTCACATTTCCTGTGGTGTCCGTCAGTAAACCGAAGAAGCGTGAGTAGCCAGGCCTCATGATTTCTAGTTGGGGGGATCTGCATTTCCCTGTCAGGTGCTCACCTCAGGCTCTGCAAGCCGTCGCCTCGCCACGCACCTTGGACAATGCATCGAACTTATTTTGCGGCTCTCAGCCATACCCGGAAGAAACTTTGAGACGCTTAGAGACTTTAGGCACTTATGCGCATCAAGTAAATGGATTGACCCACCCTGGGATCAAAATTAATTGGCCCCGCACACAACCAAGTTACGCTTGCGCCAATCAATCTCGCCCAGTGCTTCCAAGCGAGCCACGGTAGGGAACCCTTCGTGTTTCCCGGGCTTACACGATTATTTCTTCGATTATCTACAATGCTACCTGGGGGTGAGGAGAACAAAAATAAGGTTGTTAGGGCATTTATTTAGATCAGGCATGAACCCCACTAAACCAGTTTGCAAGTGACGGGCTGCACCCAGATATTTCGTACAGAAGGCCAGGAAGACTAAAGTCCGACTGGCTCATGGAGACTTACAAGGACGTTTTCAAACTTGCCTACACGAAAAAAGAGACCCGACTAATGATGCGCACTACCAACTAATAAAGTAATGGGGCACACACAGAGCAGATCCTTTCAAATAGCTTGGGTGCAAGCGCCGAGGCCGCTGGCCTCTCGTGGCCTTATCAAGGTAACTTGCTTTGGACCGACGCGTGCTACATAATGTCCGCCTCTGATTAATAAATAGCCCCCCCCCCCGAATGACCCTAAATAAAAGTTATGGGGAACATTTCAGGGTCAAGAAAAGTTTAGAATGTGTTTAGTATTGAGCTCTGTTTTTTGGTTTTGGAATACTACTTTAGAATTGGGCAAATTCTAAAGTAGCATTTGGGGGAATACTAGTTTAAAATTGGGCCAATTCTAAAGTAGTATTGGGCCAAGAACTTTTGCACCAGTGGGAATCAGCTTAGCTTTATTTAGGGTCAGGAATTATTTAGTGCATGAGGCTTCATGGGTGGTAGCCTTGCTGGCAGGGTCAAGTTGTGTTTTTGAGGGCTTCTAGATAAAGAATTTGATGAAGGGAATCACTAAATAACTTTGGGGTCTGATGGAATTGGAATGAAGAATTATGATGAGCCAGCTTGAATGGAAAGGAAAAACAAAGAAAGGATCAGAGCAATTTTGGACGGGGAACCCATTTAGCTTTATTTAGGGGTAGTTTATTATTTGGTTTGGGAACACGTTTATCTTTATTTGACTCGGCCAGGGAATTTCTTTCTGAGTATCAAGGGCTCGCCTGTGCCTGCCTTGCAAAAGCTTTAGCTGGGCTCTAATTTCTCAAGAAGTTCAACCAGGCGCGAGCTTGATCAAGGAATGTGGGCCCTCTCTGAAAAAGTTGGTTTAGTCCGGCAGAAAAAAGTGACTGGAAGTGATGCCCGTAACTGGAGAAACAACCCAAACTTGGTTAGTGCCTCAAAATGGCTTGGGTGTGTTCAATGCCCCCTGTTTACCCACAATGCATTATTCAGGCCCTCCCGCCCCCCCCCCCCCCCGTGGCAGGGAAGATTGAGGCCTATGCGTCGCCACGCTCTTTTTTGTATCTTTCTGCATTGCTAGCAAGCAAAATGAATCTGTACACGGCTTGCGGCAGCATGCCTCATCAGCATGCAAAAGGATGATGCTTCTCCGTGGAAGTGTCTGACAACAAAGGGCTTGTCATATGTTGATGTTTCTGTGCTCTGACATGTAACAGTTCAAGAGACTGAACATGTTGCCATTGGAAACTGAGTTTCTGAATCAGTAGACCCGGAAAGTCCCACCCATGGCTCACCTGTGCTTCACCCACACTTAAACCAAAAGACACACACAGACATACAGACACACATACATTCGCAAAGGGCTCTTACACCCGCAAACTGGGTTTCTGAATCTGTAGACCTGGAAAGTCCCACACGTGCCTCACCCGTGCTTCCCCCACACTTAAACCAAAAGACACACACAGACATACAGACACACATACATTCGCAAAGGGCTCTTACACCCGCAAACTGGGTTTCTGAATCAGTAGACCCGGAAAGTCCCACACGTGCCTCACCCGTGCTTCCCCCACACTTAAACCAAAACACATACAGACACACACACACACACATGCGCAAAGGGCACCAAAGCTGTCTTACACCCGCAAGTGCGCAGAAAGGGCAAAAATGTCGCCACGCGCAAGCTGTCTTGCACCCATAGAAAACGCCCGTTGCACCTGTCCCGCCCTCAAACGTTGTTGAACGTTGTTGTACAGTTGAAGGCCAGCAGAGGGCACTGGCTGGTATCCATTGACTGCTCACCAACAAAAGCCGGCATCAGTGACATAATGATTTGTATCCAGACATGTCTAGCGCTACGATAAGTAAAAATACTTGTGAGAAGCATCACCCTTCACCCGCTCGTTTCTTGGAGGCAGGCTTGCGCAAGTGAACACCACTCCGGCGAACACGTGTGCTTCTTTCCAGTGTGAAAGCAGTCCGCTTTCTTTGCGCAGCTGGCTTTCGCTGAATTGCGCACTGCTTGATAGCCTCCTGCTCTTGCTCCCTTTGGGATGCCAATGGCAAGAAACGCCGGGCAGTTTTTTGCAAGTCCTGTTCCTTGACCCACTCCCGCCAGGACTGTGCCGTCCACAGCGCCTGCCCTATCCTTCTGCCCTATCCTTCTGTATAGAGCTGAGTTATGGGCTAGCAACTTTGCTAGCCTCATCAACCTCAACTTTAGCTGCAGCGTGCTTCTGTGCATATGTTGAATTTGGCGGAAGGCAGAATTCAGTTCCGCGTGCAGCGCCTCATTGGACGTAGTTCCTGATGGTAGGAGAACACGCACATGATGCGGAAGCGGGTAGCGCTGTCTGAGGTTGTTGGATAACCATTCCATGCGATCCACGGACGTCAGCTGGAAGAGCATCTTGCCCACAGTCACCTTGGTTCCTTCCAGTTTCTTGTCCAGCTCCGAGCGGTTCTCTGACGAAAGCGCTGCGACCGCCTCGATGAATTGAATCCGCGTTGGCCAGACTCGCAAATACTCGACGCTGCCCAGCACGCGCCGCGCACGGGCCGTCGACATGCTGCCGTCAAGGATGGCATCTCTCAAAGACTGCTCTTGCCCGCTCAGCTTATGGCCAGGCAGTCCGTCGTAGAACGGGCCCCAAATATTGGTCGTCACAGCCTGATCATGGGTCGTGAACTTCACCATGAGTCTGCGAAGTAGCTGAGATCCCCTTGTCCTTCGTCCATGCGATGCCTGCTCGTAGCGCATTGCTGCGTGTGTTGGGTCCAAGGCAATGCTCTTCAAGCAGGGCAGCGCTTCCATCAGGGTTGTGAACAGCTTATGACTGGGGTTGTCACTTGCAATATGCTCCACTTGCTGGACCCCGCCATATGGTAGGCATGCTTGAATGCAAGCTGCAAGTGTGTGCGCAGCCTCATCGATGGCCGGAAGCAGTCCCAAAACAGCACCGGTTCGGCCTCGAATTGAGATGACCCTCTTGAAGCTTTCGTGGTCAGGAAAAGGGTATGTGTCACGCACGGCTTTGGGCTCCGTAAACTTGGCCTGGCCCATGAGAGGTAGACACACGCGGAAGGTGCCATCAATGGAGATGAAGGTGCACTCACCATTCTGGACCGACTCCTCGAGCAGCCGCTTCTCCATGTTGACTGCTGATGGTGCGCTGAACACATCCTCCACGATTGGCCACCAGCTGGATGTGTGCCCGGGCAGCATGTTCGTGAGCTGATTCCCAGCAGCCACAGAATCGATCATAAACCTAGGCCATATAGTCTTCACCTGAGCAAGGGCCATCAAGCAAGGAAATTAACCAACAAAGTTAGGAATGCTGCAGAGCAAAATCTCTTCTATGTCCCGCCTTTGCGTGATGCAAGAGCATCTCTTGGAAAAGCTTTTCAGCAAAGTCCTTCGAGTACCAGATCTTGCCCACCCGCCTTGCTAGCAGTGACCGCTTGGATAGAGCAGCCACATGCACGAGCTTAGGACCACGTGCATCCAAAAGCAACCTGATCCAAGTATCTATCTTGTTGTTCGTCGCAGAGAGCGGTGGGCGGATGCTCTTCCTAATAAGCGCTGCGCTTCGTCGAAGCAAGTTTCCTTTCCGTTGTCCGCGCAGCATATCACTGTCATGGAGCGACAAAATGACCTTCAACTGCTTCTTTCCAGAACAGCAGAAGTTGTTCGTCTTGATGTGATGTCGGACAAGGTGCTGCCGCAGCCTTGTCGGCCTGTCAAAACTACGGAATGGACAGCCCGGGCAATGGAATACACCATTGGATGATGGAAAACCCTTCTTCGCAAGTGCTTGGATGATCCGTTGCACCTCTGAGTCAAGACTTGACATTAGGTCCGCCTCCACAGTGACCAAGCCATCTGAATCCAGCCATTGAAGCTCTTGAGGGTGAGGTTGCTCGGCTTCCAACGGCCTGGGCTCATCCTCACTATCCCCAACCAAGTAGCAGGGCGCCGCTGCATGCCTATCATGCCCGCACGCGTCGATATCCGAATAGCCTGCAGCAGCCAAGTCCAACAATGCACCAGTATCCTGCTCTGACCACAAGTGCGACTGCCCTCCTTCCGGCTGCTGTAGAAGAAAGCAAGTGCAAGACGTGCTATCTGTTCCACCTCGCACAGCAAACAGCAATGCGTCTGCCCTGATCCGAAGAATGTGCGCTGTGTCCCACAGAATATAGGTGTCAACTGCGTCAGGCACTTTGGCTACAGCAACACAATGTGGCACGCTGCCGTTCTCCAGATGCATAAGCCACTTGTCTCCAGGTATAGTGTCACTCCAAAATGCTGGGCACAAGGTGCAGTCCAGGAGCTCAGAGCATTGCCTGTATGTACGGCAGCCTCGCTCCTCTCTGTATACATTGTTGGGCAGGCGGGCGTCACCGAGGCGCTGGACAGCATCAAGGGAACACTTCTCCAAGCAAGCCATAGCATGTGGAATGCAGTTGCCATGTTGACGCAGCACGTCGTCTGGCGCAAACTTGGCGTCCTGCTTCTGCAACGCCGCTTTTGCAACAGCTCCAGCACAGTGAAGTGTCTCTTGTCCACTATCTGAAGCTG